TGCTATTGTTATGATTTGAGGCTATATGTAAATTCGTTTCGTACGACGAGTATGATGAGTATGCTGTATTAATATTTGAACTGTTTGTACACACATGTATGTATTTACATTATACAAGTGCACGTATATGTACATATAACGTGTACAACACAAACACTTACTGCCTAATTACAATTTTCAACAATTTATTTTGAATCCATTTTTAAAAATCTTCCCCTGTCATCATCAACATCGTAATATTAATAATTATCGCTATCACTAATCATTCAAGTGCTATCAGCAGCAGTAGAGTTATATTACGATAATGATAACGTTTATTAGTATGCATTTTGATAGAGTTATATTGTGAGATGGACAACATTTATAAGCGTTTTATTTCAAATAATGATTTCAATGAAGCAGTTGTTACCTATATTGCTACATATTTTCAACATAGTTTTTCATGAAACCCTTCTAATTTTTTTAATTATTGATTGCCAGAATCAACAACATGACACTACTACCAGAGAATAGATTAATATTTTGTAGCAGTATGTTAATCAATATAACCATCATATTTCGTGTTAAATATCGTTATTCCCCTTTAAATTATTATTTTTAAAATAAGAATTATTAATATATTACATTTCACAATCGAAATCACATACTTTAGCAACAAGTGTTCGTAACACGGTCACAAGATACAACCGCCATCATCATGTTACAACTCTTGCGTGCCATCATCGCATTCGCAATACGTCATGGGCATGATGGTGTTTATAAGTTTGCAGGCTGTCATTATGTACGTAGCGTACGCACGTATGTCCGTCCACGTCTGTACGCTAATGTGTGTACGTTTATGTGTGAGTGTGTGTATGCTAATGCGTGTACCTTTATGTGTGTAAGTTGATGTGTGTGTGTGTGTGTGTGTGTGTGCGCGCGCGCGCGCGTTAAAGTGCGTAAGTTGATATGTTGATGTGTACGCTGATATTTGTGCGTGTACGTACAAGGACGGCGTCGTTTGATGTACAGAGAGGAGAACCAGATGTGATGATGTGACGTGCTTGATGCATTGCGGTCCGTATCAACCTGTGGACACTCTCCATGATGTTGCTGACCACCTCAATAACAACCATGTCATATATTGTGTATTATGCTTTCAGTTATGTCTTCATTATTGGTTACGTTCGTAGTCATTTAACCATAAAAATGCTTTAAAGATGAGGAATAATAACAATGCTATTGTTATTTCATTTTTCTTGTTCTTTTCATTATGATGTTATCGTATTTACATCGTAAAACAATAAACCCGATTCAGTTGAACCAATGAGCCAAGCAAATTACGCACTTATTCCGCAACCAATACATCTACAACAGCAACCAGTGCAACAACAGCCAATACATCTACAACAACAACCAGCACAGCAACAACAACAACGACTACACCAGCAACATCAACAACCAAGTCTCTTAATTCGACAACAGTTGCCCATCTTGCAACACGCTCAACAACAACAACAAATTCAGTTCCTACCTTCCTTACCTTGTAGCTTCAACAATTTCCAACATCTCAACAACTTAGCTCAACAACAACACCATCAACAACAACAGCAACAACATCATCAACAACATTCAACATTGCAAATTGTCAGGGGTGAGTTTTTTTTCATAATCCTCCGTGTTATGGTTCTTTTTTTCCTAATTTCAAAACAACTGTTCACACTGTCTTGGTTGTTGGTGCTGTCGGATATCAGTAATTATCAGTAAAATTTTATAACATGAATTATATAATTTCGTTTTTTTTCTAAATGATATTTTAATTTTAAAACTTGGAAGTTGTTTAATTACAACTCGGAGCACACTACACCAACTGGAAGGATTATCTACCGTAAAAAACCAAAGGTATGCATGCTTTTGAATTAAAGGAATTAAAAGTATATAGGAAAGGAATTACTACTTAAAAATTGAACATCAATCAATTAGGATCGTTCTTATTTGTAGACATGCATCCTGCATTAAAACAGTTTGTTGTGGGCTACTTTACTGGTAAATATTGTTACAATATCCACAAAGTTTGTCGTGCCAGGCCACGGTTTGAACTCGACACCTGAATGTAGATACATATGTAAATGTTTAAATCCGCATTGCTATGATCAATTAATTTTTAACAAGGTGCGATAAATCGTTATCATTATTAATAATACCAACGATAATACCAAATAATTATAATAATAATAATAACGAGATAAAAATTTTGCTGAGTTGATAAATAAAGATAAATAAATTGATATCACCGTGCATTTTTAACAATTTTTTAATTCCTCATTTTTTCATTTTTATTAATAGATCTGTTCAGTGAGGTAATTTAATTAATTGTAATTTCGTACGTGAACTGTACGATGTGCACATACAACTGCTAGTATTTGCTCTTCATCATGTTGTACATATGACGCAAACATTTGTTCGCACGTGTACACCTGTTCACACACGCACACACACACACACACACGCACACGTATATATATATATATATACATGTGTACAGTACAAACACATATATATATATATACACACAACACACATACATGTACTATTACAGTACGTTTATATTTGCTTACCTAAAATATTTTTATGTGTCTGAGATTTGCAAATGTGAGATGATGATATGATGATAATGTGTGAATAATCATGATAATTTAGAACATTTTCTCCATCAAATTAAACCAGCATTACCAGACTATAAATTTTTTCGCATAATTCAGCAGTAGATATTTTTTACATTCAAAATTTTTTTTAAATATTTCATGCATCTTTCCCTTTTGAGAGTGATCCAATGGAATGATGCGTAGAACATGTATGTACTGTACTTCTTATTGTAAATTAATGCCATAGCAAGTATTATTAGAGTATGCTTATTTCTTATAAGAGAAGACTTAAAAGAATGACGAAGTTAATGAATGAATGAATGAATGATATGCGTGAACAATAAAGCGAAGCAAGCAAACGATTGAACAAGTAGGAACATAAATAAATACCCATTGAAATAATGTCGACCATAACCCAGTACACCGCTGTTTTGTTATAATCTATCTTCGTTCGTGCTTATTTATTTCATTTCAATCCAAAAATTTGTGGTACACCTCATGAGATTACACAGACACAAATGTGCGAGACACACATACGCACATGTAGATACAAATCAATTATAACTTGCATATATTCTGATTCTTCAATCTGGTCTAATTAGCATGTAGAGTATTTGTGATAATCAGGTGATAATAAACTACATACATACTTGCACATATGCATATTTCATACATTGTTTATACAGTTTCATACATCATAGAGTACTGTACATAAACACATGTGTGTACATACAAACTCTGCGGCTTACTATAAACGTGCAACCAACTCATGATGGCCGTGTAAAACTCATCAAGGTGATATTTAAAGATTTATATACGCTGATTGGTTTGATGAATAATATTGAATCTGTAGTCGGGTTGTGGCCGACCACACCGAGCGACCAGCCGTGCATGCAAATGTTCATTCTCTCTTCTATGCTATTCAAATCCGTCAATCAACCACTCACTCGCTTATCCTTGCGATGTTTGTTTATACTTAGTTATTTAATTAGTTTAGATTTTAAATTTATTTGACGCGCGCACACACACACACAAACACACACAGTCAGCCGCTCATAATAATAATGCATATATACAATACATACTGAGTGTATATGTAGTTTTATATATTTATATATATGTGTGTGTGTGTTGTGTGTGTGTGTGTTGTGTGTGTGAGTATGTGTGTGTGTGTGGTGTGGTGGTGGTGGTGTGGTGTGTGTGTAAATAAAAAAGAGAGAGATTTTAAAAAGTAATACAAATAAATGATTATTAGCCCGCCAATTTAATGTTTGCTTAATAAAGAACGGTAGTTATTTTAACACATTAACGAAATATTCATCAATAAAATTCCATTCAAACCTCTCAAATTTATTGGAAGTTTGGTGTCGATTTGATGATCCGTCTTGAATAGGCACGAGTGGGAAGAAATGAATTCATTAATTTGCAATAACTTTTCCTCCAGAGAACACTGGCATGGTACAGGCTGTCGATGCACCAAGCATCATCATTCTGCCTCATCCTACATTCATTCATGGCAGAACATCTTCTACGGCATCTGCTGCTGCTGCTGCCCCTACCACTCCTTATCAACATCCTAGGTGATGATTGACAAAATGATGAAGATGATGTTGATGAAGATGATAGAATAACTGTAAAAATGAGGATGATGATGTTGATGATAGTGACGTTTTGTTGATGATAGTAATAAAAATGATTGTGGCGAGATGATGATGATGATGATGCGATGGTGATGATGGGTGAAACGATAACAAATAATAATTATTTATATTTTTAACGTATTTATTTTTTGTTATCACTACACATTTTTTTCTATTTTTTTATGATTGACATTATCAACGAGGTCATAACAAAACATCATCTCAACTCCTCAGGATACAAATATTCATCATTTTCATCATCACCATCATCATTTGTTTTTTATTATCATCATCATCATAATTATATCATTATCATTTTCATCACTGTTTTTATCACCATCCATTCTATCAGCACTTCATATTCGTTCTGATCTTTTTATTTTTTGATTAAAACATTTTTGTTGTTTTTTTGCCAAAATAAAATAATTAACCATAAAATCTGAAAAAAATTTTTTTCAACGCCCATCTCTCAAGCCATTCATTAACGCCGTTCACGATGTTAACACAGTGTAATGAGCATGCATCGCAGAATACTACAAATCGCATTTCACACCTCATCGTAACAACCGCCGCCACCACCACCACCACCACAAAAATCGACAAACACTACCACAACAACCCCACCGACGACCACCACAGCTTCAAAGAACTACTGCACAGTCGACTGCACAGTAGCACAAGCAGCAACTGCAGCAGCGGCACCAGCAACAAAACATCAGACGAATGCTGGAAGAAGAGATTATCCGGTTTGCCGCTGTCGTCTGCTGTCGGATGCTTGGTTGATCTTGCGAAGGATCAGTTCGGATCCAGGTCCAGATTGATTGATTAATTAATTAATTAATTGACTGACTGACTGACTGAGTAATTGATTGTTTAACTGATTGACAGATTGGCTGATTGACAAAATAAATTACTATGACAAACATCGGTGTTTATTTAATCTATCCTCCGCCAACAACAACATCGGCAACTGATGAAATTGCTTTGTTTTAAATAATCAGATTGATATTGAAAGGAAATGTAATAAATAAATGAATAAATAAATCATAAATTGTAGTATTAATGGTAATAATAAAAAATAATTGATAAATTTAAATAAATTTAATTCTTTTTACATGTTATTTTTTTTGAAAAGGTATTTACAAGAGAAATTAGAGTGTGGCAAGAATGATGCGAACGATGCCATAGTGCATTCATGCATCAACACATCACAAAATTCCTCACCCAATCCACCAACATCTCTACCGACATCAACAACATCATCATCATCAACAACATCATCATCAACAACAACATCATTATCATCCTTAACAACAACAACTACAACATCATCATCAGCAGCAGCAGCAACAACAACTTCCGTCTCGATAATAACGAACGAGCTTCTACCACACATAATCTCCTTATCTATGGACCTCTTTGGGAATTACGTGGTGCAAAAGCTATTACACAACTGTGACAACGACCAAAGATTAAAAATAAAAAATAAGATCATTAACTCTATTTATGATCTTTCGAAACACATGTACGGTTGCAGGGTTGTTCAGAAAGCGTTCGAAGTTTTTTGCGATGATTACAAAGTAGGTAGTCGGTGATGTTTGCTTGATCGATCGACCGATTGGTTGGTCGCTTGATTGATTTGTCGGCTAATTGATTAATTGATTTATTTATTAGTTGATTAACTGATCAATTATTTATTGATTGATGGATGGATGGAAAAATCTGCTGATTTAAAGATCCTATACGAAAATTTTGCTCCATTTTAAACTGTTAACTTTGCTGAATGGTTGATTGGATAATAAACTTAAAAAATAATAAATTACTTCATTCGTTTATACAGTTATCTAGTTTGTTGGTTGATAAAAAATTTTATCAGTGTGATCAATTGCTTCAATAAAAACTTCACTGACTGATTTTTTATTTGCAAAGTTTAGTAAAATGTTGACATTCCATGAAAAAACTTTTAAAACTGGATATTTTTAATTTGAATGATGACAAACGACATATTTAACTTAAATCATGTGGCTTGATCGCAACATTCGACCAGTTTGAGATGATAAACGAGTTGAATGGAAACGTGCTGGCCTGCTGCTACAACCAGAATGCCAACCACGTCATCCAGAAAGCAATCGAACAAGTGAAATATGAACACGTCTGGCTGATTGTCGATCAAATCAAAGGAAAGGTCTGTACAAATATTATGTAAAATTTATTGTTTTATTTTTATTATTTATTTAGTATTTGCCTATTTTTGTGTAAAATATTTTTATTTTTAATTATTCAAACTAAAACCATTCTATTACATATTTACTCAGGCACATAAAATAATTACCTATTTCAAAATGTGCAGTACAATTATTTTGACTGACTGATAATGCTTACTCTTACGTTACAATTCTGTTACATCTTGTATTTTTGTGGTTGCAGATTTAGAATTTGATCTTAATCATCATACTTTAATTTATTTTAAATAAACAATATTTTAATGAAAAAAATGTTACCTTCTTCAAAGGTATCAGTTCTGTCTAATCACCCGTATGCCTGTAGAATAATACAGAGGTTGGTGTCGGAAAAATAAATGAATGAATGAATGAATGAATGAATGAATGAATGATGAATAAATGAATTAATTAATTAACGAAGGAATGATTATTTGATTGATAGAAAGTATAATGAATGAGTAAATGATTGATTGATTGATTGATTAGTTGATCGATTGATTGACTGATTGATTGATTGATTGATTGATTGATTGATTGATTGATTGATTGATTGATTGATTGATTGATTGATTGATTGATTGATTGATTGATTGATTGATTGATTGATTGATTGATTGATTGATTGATTGATTGATTAAATGATTGAAATTGACTGGCCGGTTGATGTAAGTAATTGGTTACTAGTCCTTGTTGTCGATGTTATCACAATTGGATTGGTGGACTGATTGATGTGGTGTCAAATGTCGTCGAGTGATGATGGTTTCTCCTCACTGGTTGCTCTGTAATATTTCAATTTTTTAATTTATTTTACAAACGGCACATCTGCTATCACCATTACCCTACTCTCTCTCTCTTTCTCTCTCTCTCTCTCTCTCTCTCTTTCTCTCTCTCCTCGTCTCCTTCCGATAATTTGAATATAATCTTTATATTATTAAATATTATAATTTCAAATTCAAAATAAATATAGTAGAATAATTATCTTGCTGCCGCAGATGTTTGGAACGACTGAGTGAACAGGATTCTTCTTTCATCCGCGAAGAAATTTTTGCCAGCATCGAATCACTGATTCACGACCAATACGGCAACTACGTCATTCAGTACCTGGTTGAGAAGGGGGGTGATAGGGCCCGCCATGTGGTGATGGAATGGGTCAGAGGCCGTGTCGTCCAACTAAGTCAGCACAAGTATTCGAGGTTTGTTTGACTGTTTAGGAGGAGTTTTGTGTTGCATGATATCTGCTCGTCGGATTTTATTTCAGTTGTTTTTTTAAATTTCGCTTTATTGTACCCAATAGCCTAAAATATAGTTCTACTACATTTTAAGGTTTATATTTGCGAAATTTCACAAAAAATTTGTTGAATATTTAAATGAACAGTGCTAACAAAACAATTCATTTCTTTGATGAAGTTTCGAAAATGATATTCTGAAAAATTTTTTTTTTGCAACCAAACTTATTTTTTGAAGCGAAGAAAAGATTAACACGCGAGAATTGGTGCGTGCCTGTGCACATTAAAATCTCCGTCGTACACTTCTGTCACTTGCATCTGTCTGTATGTTGCTTTCTAAGCCTGGGCAGTAGGCAGTTACGCAATGTAATGTACATGTATCTTCGCTATTGGCGTTTGGTATCATTAGGTATATATTTACGCATTGCTGGATCGTACGTTGTAAACTTCATCTTTGAAATTTTTGTCGTAACGTGCTTGTTAATTGTAAGGAAGACTGATTAAAAAGTAAAAACTGAGCAGTAGAATAATTTTCGAGCAGTAGATGGATCACCGGCATTGCGTGTACGCGTTTAATAGCTCCTTAATGTTGCTTCGTGTTGCTACGTGTTGTTCGGTGTTTTTGTTATCTGGTCACGTTCTTAGTGCTCGCTGATTTATTCTCTGCAGCTGAAAGATTTTTTTCAAATTTTATATGCTCTTTTCAGGAACGGATTCGGTTTGTTTATTTTTAATCAGAATTTGCTATTTGAATGAATGACTTTTGCTAAGTTAAACCAAACATTTTGAATGTGTTTTTAATTTCAAAATGTTGTTTCAACTTTCGATGATTACGTTTTCCTGTTTTGTGCATCGGAAAACAGTTTCATCATGAAGTGCAGCCAGCATAGGAGACAGATAGCAGGCAAGAACACTCCATGATTTGGACATCAACCAATGTATCTGTACATTGTAACTGTCTCACATCTCTTTCTATTTATTCGACTGTTGATGTTGCTTAAAATAGATGAGGCACGCGTTACTCTTATCAGGCGTCTACAGGCAGATGAAGGAATGTAAGTAACGCATACTCCGCTCGAGTGCGACTCAAGTGGATGTGACAGTGGGCGTCATGAGATTTGTGCAACCTTGCCACTTGTGGCTATCTATTCACCTGCTTGTGTCTGCGTCTGTGTCTGTGTGTGAAAAAGAGAAAGAGAGAGTTTGTGTGTGTGAGAGAGAGAGAGTTAGTGTGCGTGTGTGTAGTTATTTGTGTGCATGCTTGCTTATATATCTACCTAGGCTCGGCTACAGTAGACTTTCGTATGCAACGTATTCGTTTTTGCCAGCCTATTTCTTTGATGCTAATGTTAAATTTATTTGTAACGACATTTAGTAGATGATGTGTGCGTGTGATGTAAATGCATGCAGCTAGTTATAAAACAAAACAAAAATTTTCTGCTAAATTCGGGTTGATGATAAAATCTTGAAACAAGCCAAGCTGAACTTTAGATTTCAATCTGAACATTTGATGCTTAAAAAATATAAAGTAAAACTAAAATTTGAAACACATTCTTTGTGACAAGTAGCTCCTACTCTATGTTTGAAATGAAGATAAGTTGATTTTCTCCAATTGCATGTAACAATGCGATGAAATTTCAGTATTTCATTAAACACACGTACAATAAATCGTGCGACTAAGGGGCGAAATAAAAGTTGGATATCTAAATATGCGGTGTGTGCATGTCTATATATATATATGTGTGTGTGTGTGCTTGTGTGTGTGCGTGTGCATACGTTTATTCTCACATACTACACAGTTATGTTTGTACAAAAAACAAACAAAAAATGTTTCTCGTTTTAAATTGCATTAGTGGAATCAGGTTTTGCAGGAAACACTCCGTCTAGGCAATGTTTCCGTTATGAGAACACACTAACACTCGTGTACACACACACGCACGCACACACGCGCACACACACATATATATGTATATATATATATATATATTCACGCACATCCACATACAGACACGTTAACGTACGCTCACATAGCATAACTTTCACACACACTTACACATCCTGGTGAGCAAAAAGTTTAGACGACAACACTCCAACTAAATACAGGATTTCATCTTAATTTTTTTCATCTGTTTGTAGTTGGGTGCGTCATTATTTTTTACTGCTCTGATGATGATGATAGATGTTATCGCCTTGTTGTTTAGTTAGATCCATTCACGTTTTCAACATCACCAACCAGCCACCGAATAATGATGTAAGCTTTTCCAGCTGACGTATGGTGTAGTTTCATTGTACAAATTTGATCCTACAAGCATACATTCGTTTCTGTATTAAATTGATAACAGACAATACATTGAACTATTTCTCTGTAGATGAATCAAATATTAAATTACAAAATGTTATGATGTTACGAAAGAAATATTAATAAATTTAACCAACCCAAAATATGGTCATTTGTTTTTGCGTGACAGGCAAAGATGACAAAACTGCCCGGTCTGTTTGCTTTTTATGCCAACGTATGTGCTCTACCTCTATCCACCCATCCATCTTTTTATCTATCCATCTATTTATCTATCTATCCATCTATCTATCCGTCTATCTATCCATCTATCCGTCCATTTGTTTTTCCATCCATTCATCATGTTTGTGACTCTTTGATGCGTGTTCTTTCAAGTTCATGGGTTTGTTATTAATTATTATGTATGCTTATGTGTCCGTATATCTGCCTGTGGTGTCTTGTTAGGATGCATGCATTTTGTTTACATTTATACATACATTTATTATTATTGTTGTTGTTGTTGTTATTATTAATATTAGAGAATTTATATGGCGTCCTTTAATATTATTCAAACTTTTTACGGTTCATCCCAAATATGCGTTTATGACAGTTTTATATTCATTTATTCATTAATACATTTTACATCTCACCTATATATACATATATATATTTTTTTATTTTTTATTTATCATTACAATTCATAATTCCAGACAGTAAAGGTCTATTGAGTCAGTGTAAAATGTTATCGCATACATGCACTGCACAGCCCCGCAAAGTTTTCATTCTCAAACATCTCAACCAATGAAATGCTGGGAAACATAAGTGTGTGTGGTGGGAAAGGGCATCTTAATCATCAATGCCAGTAAATTTAGGCCGGATATAGTTTAGTTTATACATTTTTTGTTGACTTCAACAGAAATTATCAGATTGTTGAGTTCATTTTAGAGTTTTTCAACATTTACCAACATAACATATAACAATATTTAATGATTTGTAATGTCGTTAAGATGAGCAGCACCTAACATTAATAAAATCATCATAATCATCGATAGTGCTATGACCATTGTTGTTGTAATCGTCTTTATCTTCACCATCACCATCAAGTTATTTTTCACGTTATCAACAAATCAACATCAATCAACACCATTACGTTGTCATCATCTTCGTCGTCATCATCTTCGTCGTCGTCATCATCTTCGTGCCCTCAACAATGTTCTGTTTAGTGTTTGGCGGTGTAGATATCTTGTTGACAGACACGTCACAAGTTGTTTTTTTCTATAACTTATGAAACATTTGCGACGCAAAGACTGCAACTCCCAAAAGTTACGCATGTATATTTTTGCATGTTTCGTTACACATAAGAATTGTGTGTGTGTGTGCGTGCGTGTGTATGCGTGTGTGTACTTGTGCGTGTATCTCTGTGTCTGTGTGTATTTTGGAAATAATGTGCACTGCATGTAGCTGATATCTTTCAAGGTGATTTTTCATGTGATCCATCGGTTGAAACGAGACCTATCAACGTGGGGGTGTGTGTCATTTGTTGATAACCTGATTAACTGGAGGCTGTTCGCGGTCATAACGTTTTGTTACGTGCTGCTAATCTCTGCTCTCTGTTTATTCTTCTTTCTCTATAATTTAGTCTCTCCTTTTTCTCTTTAAAAAATATAAAGCATTATATTCTATATTGATTATTGTTGGCTCAAACATCACCGTCATCGTTAAAATACATATGCTTGTGTGTGTGCGTGCATGTGTGTGTGTGTGCGTGTGTGTATGTGTGCGTGCGTGCGTTCGTGTATGTGTGTGTATGTGTTGTGTGTATATGTGTGTGTGCTTGCATGTGTGTGTATGCGTGCGTGCGTGCGTGTATGTGTGTGTATGTGTTGTGTGTGTATATGTGTGTGTATGTGGTGTGTGTGTGCGTGTGTGTGTTAGATATTAAATAAATTGGCGTTACACGCACCAGCTGACATCAAACAAGACAAAGTTATTTATTAATGTAAACAACATTTGAAAATTTTGAAAGAGCAGAAGGTTTATTTGAAGCCCTGAGAAATATACTTTAAAGATTGTGTTTTTGTATGTGGTGCGTGCGTGCGTGTAGTAGTAGCAGTAGTGGTGGTAGTAAAAATAGTAGTAGTAGTAATAGTTGTTGTAGTTGTAGTAATAGTAGTGGTAGTAGTAGTAGTAGTTGTTGTTGTTGTAGTAATAGTAGTAGTAGTTGTTGTTGTAATAGTTGTAGTAGTAGTGTTGTTGTTGTAATAGTTGTAGTAGTAGTGTTGTTGTTGTTGTAACTTTGTTGTTGTTGTCATTTACATTGCTCTGTTGTTGTTGTTTGTTATTATCTCTTTAACGTGGATATTTTGAATAATAAAAAATGTTTAAAATATGAATATGCATGCTTTAGGGCGTTGTTTTGCGCTGTTGCTCGCGTTGTTTATGTCATTTTTATTTCAGCTTTAGAGGTTTTTTTCATGCAAATATTCACAGTTAATATGATTTTGAAATTGAATTCTGAATTTAGCATGCGATAAAATTCCTTTCATTGCATCACATTGCAGGCTACGTTGAAATGAAATCAATTATTCCGAAGTCTTTCATTATTACTATTATCAGTAGTGCTGATGAGGATGATGAAGATGACGATGAGGATGATGATGATGATGATGAAGATGATGATCAGAATGATGACGATGATAATAATGAAGAGAATGATGATGAAGATGATGATGAGGATGGAGATGATGATGATGATGATCAGAATGATGACGATGGTGATAATGAAAAGGAGGATGATGAAGATGCATGAATGTAAAATATAGCAAAATTCCAGACAGAAAAAAAAATGTACACAATGTATACCATTTGTATTTGATGATATTGTACTGCCATGCAAATGATACCAGCCATTATTTACATGACGATTGGATGATGGGAGAAATGGTGATGGTGTTGATTAAGAAGTATACAATGATGATGTAGAAAGTAATGATAATGATGATGATGATGATAATGGTGATGACGATGATGATGATGATGATGATGTTGAGGGTAATGATGATGATGAAGATGAAGATGTATAGAAGGATAAGAATGATGACGATCGCACAGGAAAGGATGATGATGCTAATAACAATCTAATTCCTCCACCGCTACCCCCAGTAACGTAATTGAGAAGTGCATGATGTTTGCGGATGACGAGCAGAGGAATTTCCTATTCACTGAAATTCTTGGATGCGATGTCGAACAAAATGTCGACGATGTACGACATTCCGACAACAGCAGCAACTGTATATACTCCAACGATAGAATTGTCAGCAGCAGTGGAAGCAGCAGCAGCAGCAACAGTATTAATGACCACCATATAAGCACTCAGGATAATATGAACGACAACAGCACATACAATCATTTGCTAAATGGCAACGTTTCAAAAAATGTTTGTGATGAAAACCGTAGCAGCATGCAACACGACCATCAAAAGAAAGATCGTGCAAATATGCTCCATACTGCAGACCTCAACAACAACAACAACAACGTAACAATCAGCAACAACCTTAACATCAGCAGCATTATCAACATAACAAAGGACAAAATTATTGCGCAAAACAGCAAAAACAACAGCATGGTAAACAACAGCCTTAATATTATAAACAACAAGATCAACCACACTAACAACAACATCATCAGGAGAGAAGCTAATGATGATAAACACATGACGACAGTGAAAGTTGCCAGTAGTCAGCGAGATCAAAGGTTAAACTTTACAATGCATTGTTATTAAGTTTATTTGTAATTACTATTATTTTATAACGGCTCTATTGTTTACCATTTTATCACTAGGTCAGTGCTACTTTAGTTTCGATTGCAACCTTGTAGACAATAAATATTGTACGTTGTATTAGTTTGATTGTTTAAAACAGTTTGAGATTAAATAACTGAATTGTGAATTTGCTAATTCAAATTTCAATTCATCAAATCAACTCCTCGTGTAAATGTTACAAACGATGATATAAATTTTATTCAAATTTCATTCTTTACACACACGATAGTTAGTTAGTTAGTCAGTCCATTGTAAATATGACGTGCAAGAAAATGATAATTTTGAAGTAAATTTCCACTTTGTGCATCTTTTGACAGATTGTTTTCTGCGTACGACAAGTGTGTTTCATTTTAATTTGTTATGTTAATTCACACATTTATTCTACACGTGCGCACAATTTAATTGACAAACATGTGCCAATTAATTAAAAAAACTTTACTCTCTTGATGACTCTCCACGACAGTTCTCACGTAGAGATAACTTTAAATGGTTTGAACTCGTTGGCTGACAGTTTGACATCTCCACCACCAGCGTCATCATCATCGTCATCGTCGTCATCAACATTATCATCTTCTTCTTCGTCATCACCGTCACCATTGACGACTTCATCACCAGTAAATGCATCTTCAAGCTCCAACAACTCGTCGTAAGTAAAAATAATTACACATCAATCAATCAACCGTATTAATCAGACTCTAAATTTTAATGAATGTTTCTAAATTTTATTAACTGTTGGCTTGTACAAAAAATATTTCTATTTTGGTCTCCAGATTATTTAATTCATTTAACTTTATCCATGATATAATTCTGTTTGACTTGTGTTAATGAATATGCAAGTTGACCTGAATATTTTGAAATGAAAACTACTTATAATTACTTTTCAAAACTACTTTTAATTATTTTACAACACATCCCAAACTAGCAAATCGTATCCACACATCCAGCCAAACCACACATCCAGCCAAACCACACATCCAACCAGACCACACATCCAACCAGACCACACATCCAACCAGACCACACATCCAACCAGACCACACATCCAACCAGACCACACATCCAACCAGACCACACATCCAACCAAACCACACATTTAACCAAACCACACATTCAACCAAACTACACATTCAACCAGACCACACATCCAACCAAACCACACATCCAACCAGACCACACATCCAACCAAACCACACATCCAACCAGACCACACATCCAACCAGACCACACATCCATCCACTCAGGTCTATCAGCAGCTTGTTACGCGACAGATTCGGCAACTACGTGGTCCAGAGAATGTTTGAGATCGCAGACGACAGGCAGAACAAAATGCTACTGACGCACATCAAGCCACACGTCAACATCCTCAAGTCATACCCCTACGGCAAGTACATATTAGCTAAAATGGAAAAAATTAAAAATTCGAACAGCCATTGTAGCGGCGGCGAAGGCAGTCAAGACGTCAGCGACAACCACAACAGCAATAACAACCAGACATAAACAGAAATTTGAACTACTTATATATTTAAATGCTGTGTGCCTTGGAATGTTATCTAAATAAACTTAAAACAGTAGGGTGAATGCGTATAAATAAATAAGTAAATATGCTTTTGTTTAAACATTTATATGTTGTAATATATTATATATCTATAGAAATACATTCACAAGCACACACGCACACACAAGCATAACACATATTAAACACGAATGTTCACTATGTTTACATACGTGCATGGCAGACAGACACAACTTAAGGCAGACTCCCATCAGTGGCGTATATGTAATTTGATGCCACAAATCACTAATTAATGCTTCTTTTCAAAATTATTTTTAATAAAGAGATAAAATTTATTTTTATTATTCCTACTTATTTATCTGAGCAACCTTTTAACAAACCAAACACAGAGCTACTTTACTTTTGATCTATCGAGAGTTAAAAGTTCTTTCAACCACTATCGTTTCATCATTAATTCTTTTTTTCATTCCAACGTTCGTTTTTTCCACAGAATATTTTCCTTTCGGTGGCAGTCTTTTCCATTCATTCCTACTCGCCACCTCAGTCGCTGAACACATAGTAATGTATGTAGGCATAAAATGTGCTCTAATTCCCTTAAAGCACGAATATTTTCATCCCTTCAAGCCCCCAGCGCTAGAAACAAACACACTTCGTTGGAAACTTTCGCCGTAATAAGTGTGCATCGTTATAAGCATACTTTGTAATAAGCATACTTTCTTAAAAGCATACTTCGTTATAAGCATGCAAAAGTTGTCGAAAAAAATCTTCATTATTATTAGAATGCGCAAACATCTCAATGACTTCTGCCATACATTTTCAACAATTGACAAACACGAATACATTTTACCTTCGTTTGTTGACACAAGTGATAATAAATTTTACAAAAATAAAAGACAAACAAAGAATTAATGAAGGTACGGATATAAAGTTTACATAGCTTACGTGCACGTACACGCTCAGTACACGCACACACACAAACATGAAACTCAGCACACACGCACACACAAACATGAAACTCAGTACACACGCACAAATATGAGTACATCACCAAATATAAGTTCTGCAAACATAAGAAAACAAACATTCAACTCTCGTTGTGCACGCATCTTGCTTAGCATTGGAACGACTTTAATGTTCATTTTAAAACAATTCATTTGTAATTAAGAACGAGTTTGTGAGCAAACATTTTGTTAAGAACTCATTAATGTGTTTTTTTTTTACAAATGTTTAACGCCAGCCATCAACGTAAAGTTTTAAGGTGATATTTTGAAAATCTGCTTTCAATTAACGGTATCTCCACAATCTTAAGAAAAAAAGTGCAAACTGACAAACGCGCGCAAGCAACATTTCCAAACACACAAAAACACAAGCACACAAACACACACATACATGTAAGCCTTTAAACACATACATACATTTACTTTGGTGGAATAACATCTTTAAATAGGATCGGGGCATATAAAGACATACATGTAAGCGTAAAAACGCACGCAGACAACAAACAATACTGGAGAAGCCGACACAAATTTATTTGTTCAATCGAGTATTCATTCATTCGAATGTTTATTCCGCTCCAATCTTACCATCCTACCATCGTCGTTATTATTTGATCATCAGCCTTGTCATCATCATCATCATCATCATCATCATCATCATCATCATCATCATCATCATCATCAAACGCTGAATGGTGATGTTTTTTAAAAGTATAAACGAACTAATTATAAGGGAGGAAATGATGCAACCCAATAAATGCTTGCATGTCATGTGCGGCGAACAAAAAACACACATAACATTGTGCGGCGAGAGTAAGATAACGTTCCCGTTATACACGTGTGTCTGTGTGTTTGTGTGTGTGTGTGTGTGTGTGTGTGTAACACATTCAACATACAACACAACATACACAACATTTGTATACAATAGTACATTTTGTACATATATATAGATACAGATATATTAATTCATCAATACATAACTCAAGAGTATAAATTCCTAACAAATACTTCCACAACGCTTCAACGCGCCACAAATATTTGAACAAAAAATTATTAATTAGCGTTTGAAAATAGCATGAACATGTGTGTAAAAACAGGTAAACGTGTGTGTGTTGTGTGTGTGTGTGTGTGTGTGTGTGAGAGAGAGAGAGAGAGAAAGAGAGTAGTGTGCGTGTGTGTTGTATGTGGTGTGTGCGAGTGCTAATTCATAAAAATGCTGCTTGAAAAATAAACATGATTTGACTGGATAACATTTTAACGAAGATTGACCGAAATTTTTTTTTTATTTTCATAGGAAATAAATTTTTCTACTTTAGAAAAAGATTATTTGGTTTTTGTTTATTTTGCTTAGTACCTACATGTAAATTATGTGAATAAGAATTTCAAAGTTTTATATTTCATTCTTTTAGAGGTGGTGTGTATGTGTGGTTAATATGTTAACTTTGAGTGAGTGTTTCAACATGTAGATATGAATGTGTTTGTGCGTGTATGTGTGTTTGTGTTGTGTGCGTGTGTTTGTTTGTTTGTAATGTGTGTGTGTTGTGTGTGTGTGGTTGGCTTTTGTATAATCAAAATTACGAACATTCCGTAGTTCAACCTGTAGATTTTAAATTAATAAATATAGATACATTATATAGGTGAATACATGAATTTAACATATCAATACTTATGCATGCATACATACATACATATTTGCCCAAACACACACACACACGCACACACAGATATACACACACAAAAGCTGGCATACATACGCGCACACACACACATATCTCCTCATAGGTCATAGCAAACTTTAATATCATTTTCTGGCACCATAATTGCAGAGCAAAATTCAAATTAAATGATTATATAATTGAAACGCGATTGTTGTGTGCCGATGATAAACAAAATGTGCGAACGATTTTGAATTCTATTCTCATAATCAAACTATCATCCTCTTTATTATTATTAAAATTTTTTTTTTCTGTTGAGTGTTTCAACTGCTCAACATGACACTGTCATTATCACAATAATGTTTACTCACATCAACAATTCGTTGTTGTTTAGTAGCATAGCATATCACCCAGTCGTCATATCATTAATAACATTAACGGTATTATCAAGGACATCAATAACGCTGTCGATATCATTATAAATATCACCTATGACATCATGATTATCATCATCTTATCAACATTATCATTAGTTTGATTGTATTTTTTTCTGTTTGATAACAAATGATATAGTTTCATTAATGGAATATTAATTCATTTTGTAATTAAACTTTAAAATAATCACGTTAAGAGCGTTGTATTTAATATAGTGGATGGAAATAAAATTGAAATCATTCGTCAGTTTGTTGTCTAAAAGTTATAAAAACTTCAGAAAAGATAGTAGAAAAAAATGAGATGTGCGAGAGAACGCATGCACACACAATCTTCAAATTCATTCTACTGCCTGTAATGTTTATTTTGAGTTTAAGTCCTTGCAATTCTTCAAGTGAGTTAATCTCTCAGAAGCAAACGTTATAGACTTTCCAAATTAAAATCGTTCCGTCGTTTCTTTGCTCGTCGTTCATGCAAAAGCTGCCTCATTTTATTTTTAAATTAATTTTTCTAGAATTGTTGCAAAACTAACTCTTGAAATTACCAAAAAGTGATAATTATTTGTTGGATCCAATTTTTTCAAACTGCGTTAATAGAAAATATTTTAAATACATCCATTAATTATATTCGCGTTAAAAGTTTTTCCGCGCTCTTGTGAAATTTTATTTAAAACTTTAAAAACAAACTATTTTCTACATATATGTTTGAAATAATTGAATATTATTGAATTTTATACAGGAATTGAGCTATAGTACTCATCCTGATGCTTTTGCGTCATGAAATTCTATTTAAACGGAGGTTTACTCGACAAATAATCAATTGCCATTTTATACAACATCATGTTTTTACACAAATTTAGTGCAAAGTAGGCACAACATCGAAAGTCTAAAAAAAATTCGTTTCTAGTTTAACGTCAATTATTTGTTTATAAAATTATTGAATACAAATGTACAGCTGTTTATAAAGAGACAGTTTGTCAATATTATTTTACGTTTTGTTCATCCAATAAAACAAAGTTCTTAATGGAAAGAAGAGATAGTCTGCCTAAATTGAATCCGGCGGACGCAAAGGAAGATAGTGGTACAAATGGCGGCAAGTTAAATCGCTCTGGTGTCTGGCAACTTATTAGTAAACTGCAAAAAGAAAATGGTAATCTCGAAGTTTTTGATAGTTATGCGCGATATACAATCGGACCTTTACAGTTATAGAGAAATTATTTTTGTTGAATTGAAACAGTTTTATATGTAAAATTCCAAGGGACATAAAAATTTGTTATGTAGAGATTTTCGTTCTATAGAAGTTTGCTATAAGGAGGTCTAACTGTATTAAATAACATTGACAAATTCTGCTTATGTCAAAATCTCACACGCACCGTAATAGCGCAAACGCCAACCGATAAAATTAAATCTTCGACCATATTCAACCTATTAGTATCAAAGCATCAATTAATGTAGAAGTTTGAAATCATTTTTGAAATAGTTTACATAGAAATTTGTTAGCGCTATCCAGGGTTCGCAACAGTTTAATAACAAAGTAAGTTAAAGTTTGATAAGAGAACCTTATACGAAGCATCGATTCGCAGACGCAGATTTACTCAACTTGAACATAAACATCCAATAAATAAAGCAACCGTGATTGAATCTTTTGAACAATTTGAAGCTTCATAGCAGTTGTTTTTCAAATTAATTATTGCACTTTTAAATATAATAAAACAAGTTGACATAAATTTAATTAGAAACATTTATTTGAGAACATTCATATAAGAGCATTCCATTTTTTAATTCAGATGAATTGAAACTTGAATTAATAAAGAACAAAACGTGTTACAACATTCTCAGAAGTGACTTGAAGGAAATTTCAGTCGCCGAAGAAAAAATGAATTTGGAAATGGCTTTCTTGGGTGATGAAAAAGGTCAGAGAGGGGACAAATTCATAGAGCTCATTTAACTTTACTTGTTTCACTAGAACAATATTTATAATTATAATTAGCATTATATTTAACAGACTATGATTCAATCTAAGTTTTAAAAGTCTATGTTATTTTTACATACAGATCATTGTGAGAAAGAATTGAAAGAAACTAGAAGATTGTTGTTGCAGCTTCAAAGTGACTACAGAGACGTTCTTGAGCAACATGAAGAGCTTAAAGTATCTAGTTCAATTTTATTACTTTTAACGTTTAATTTTTGTATTTTTTTCTTAAATTTTGAAGAAAAAGTATGCCGAACTTCGTGAAATCGGAGAGCAAGAGAATTTGGAACAAATGGATCAGGTGGCTCACCTCCTTGAAGCAAAAAGAAAATTGATGTCTATCATTGCTTCAAGTTAAGTTTCTATAATTATATAGTCGTAGAAGATTGGTTGTCATTTTGCACTCATCAAATTTTTTGAATAGAAGTTCCTGACACTAATCAGAAATTATTGGATTCCATGATTGAAACAGACGAAATTGTGAAATTGAAATCGGAAAACACGTTTCTTAAAAAAGAAGTGATTAAGTTGCATTTAATTTTTATACTTATTATTGTGAACACATGAGTAAATAGAATTTGTAGACATATAAATATCACATAGATGCATGAGTTTTATATATGTAAATATATAATTAACGTTGAAACAGTTGAAGAAATTCTACTTCAAGAATCTCCTCCAAGAGCAGCAGATACATGACATGAACGAGATGATCAAGCACATGACCAGACTTGTCTGCGTGACAACTGTCGACTTCAAGATTGACGACTATCACGCTAGCGACTACCTGAACAACAAAAACCACGAAGACAATGAAAGCAACATAGATCAAAATAATTATTGCAATGACATTAAGTGCAAAAGTGCTACAACTTTTATTGATGTTACTTATGATAATAATTATGACGACGAACAGTAATGTATGATGATCAGTATATCATTAAAATAAAACAGCAGAGGGAGTGAGCAAGAATGCAGAAGAAATGAGTGAATGATAAATCGATATTTTATTGATTAGATCGAATTCGTTGCTAATATAATCACATGTGTGACAATGTCGAGACATTATAACAGTAAAACACGTATTCTGAATAGTTGAATGCTGAACATTTTGAAAAAGCATAATAATTTGTTTAAGAAATATGTAATGCAGGTAATAGAATCATTTACCATGGCTAAACTTTATTTTCAAATTAATTTGCAATTTTGTTCATATTAGAGTCCAAGTAACAAGAAAGGAAAATCTTTCAGAGAGGCAACTGAACAAATTTTGAAAGAATTCAATGATATTTGTTCGGAACTCTTGAGCAAAAATGTACTGCCATACAATTTTTATATCGAACTTCTCAGCAAATTTGAAATAATCAGGGAAAGGTAATAATTTTTTATTAAAACTTTCGCCATTCTAATCGCCGTTTTTATAACGTATATGGAACCATACAGTTATATGTATGGTTCTAATCTCTTTAAAATAGTGAAGTTTCTAATTTCAATCAAGTTGCATGGTTTTGTGCTTACCATGATTACTAATGTTATTATTTTTTAGCTGTTTGTTAGTCGTACGGAAGTGTTTAAATATTTTTAAAACAGACAATTGGCGCGCAAAAAAGTTGAAGATCTCGGCTTGGGAACTAATGGTTCGTTATTCAATTTTTTCAGATTAATAAGGTTAAATTAATTAATTAATTAAATTCAACAAAATGAATGAGAGACTAGTTCAAAAAAATCATCTCTAAAGTTGCCAGAGTGTCGAACAGTAATTTCAGAAAATGGGTGAGCTTCCTGAATGGTTGTGATCATATCTGGGGCCTGGAAAGTGTCTTGAGGTGCGTCCGCGCAGACGGCATTCACAAGTATTTTTGGACATTCAACGATTTGTTCATGAACGATGAAATTAATCAAAAGATACTTGATATTTCTCAAAATAATTATGTTAGTTTAGTTTTTAGTACTTTGTTAATTTGTTTTTTTTTATTATTAATTTAATTAATTTTTGACGTTGTAAATGTAAAGTATACAGTTACACACGTAAACTCCTAAAGTAAAGTAAACTTGTAAGAGAGGTCTTCACATTTTCATTACAAGCAACACAATGTAACTTATTTGTCAGTATTTTTGAAAATGTTAAATTCTTTTCACACACAATACATGTTGCAGTATGGTTGGTTTTAACAAAAAATTAAATTTGTGAAGGTTGAAATTGTTCCAGTTTTGATTGGGGAAGCAGTTTTTGACTCCAGCTTATATAGCACCGTCAACTTTTTGTGCTTCAGAGTTCACCACATAGTGAGAGCTACAGAGGAAGAAGAAGTACATATTATCATTATTCTTCTATTCAGCAACATGTTATTATTATATTTATTTTCAAAATGTTCTACATAAATCAACAAATTAATTAGTTGTTAATTCATTTCACAAGATGGGAAGAGGAAATAGTTTTAATGGATATTTAAGTCTTATTTATGATTAAAATGAAACAAATGTTACTTAATACTGGCTTCCATTTTCAGGCATTTGTCATTTTTATCAATTACATGCTGGAGACCCTACAAATTTTGAATAAAAGGCAGAATCATTTTGTTCTAGGTTGGCTATTTTTTTTATTATAAATTTTAAAATATTTAGTTTCATTAGGACAGCTGTATCCATATAAAACAAAAATACAGAAAGTGGAAAAATGTTTCCACATTTAACTTCCTAACATTTACAATTCAGACATTTACATACCCTCATTGGAAAATGAGGAGTGGGTAATCAAAAGAACATCAGTGGAAGATGCTATCGAAGAAAAAGTTCAGTTAATTTTTAATTTAATTTTATTTTCAACTTAAATTGATTTACATTTCATTTTCTTATATATCTACAATTTATAGCATTAATATTTGATATTTTATTTACAATAGGAAGAATACCTTTCTATGTTAATTTTGGCCACAAAATTTAAAAAGACAATCAGAGTTGAGGTAATTGTCAATCACTCATTAAGGCATTGCTGATATGATTATTATAATTATTTTTATTATAGTTATTTTCATTCTTGTAACTATTATTGTTAATATTATTTATTGAGTTGTTTTGCAAATAATTTATGAATCTGGAATCCTGGTCAGTTCTTATTCTCACTGGACGCTGGCAAAATGATGTACATTCCAGGAAGATTTGAGATGATCATGAGCTGGAGTATGATGATGAGTGAGCACGTGGATTCTGCCAATCACGTCATCAAGTCGGTTTCCCTATTTCTATTTTTAATTATTTTTTTGTTGAATAACTATTAATTTTTATTAAAATATGTTCTATTTTTAATGTTTTGGAATATTTTTCCATCTTTGTAGCAATAATTTTATCTCAAACTATCAGAACATACAAAAGTTTATCAGTTGTTTTTTAATTTGAATTTAGTCCAAATATGAAGTTCATCTACATTTTTTTTCAGAATGAAGCATTACACTGATGACCCTTTACATACTTTATATGAAGGTTTCAGTCCAAATGCGTTTGTTACATGTATCATGTTTACATCATCATCATCATTGTGCAATAATTATTTTAATACTTATAATTATTATATTTATTACTTCTATTATTATTATTATTATTATTATTATTATTATCATTGTTGATTCATTTGATGTACTAAAATGATTCAAAAGAAAATTATTTTTTTGTCTACCAAGGGATATTTCTTCACAAATCACACATGGAGTCATTTGCCATGATGTTCTGCCAGATAAATAAAGGGAGTTTGTTGTACTTTTTTATTCTTTAATTAGTGCTATGTTGGACAATAATTAAATTTTACTGAATTTGTAGTAAGTTTTAAAAATAATTTTTAAGTAAGTTATTAAATATTCAAATATTATAATAGTAGATACTAAATATTTATGTTGAAGAACTTATGGTTTTATCGTAACTTTATCAGCATTCATACAATAATCTTAACAGTAAGGTAATAATAATAATTATAATATAAGTATTAACAAGAATATTTGTAATAATAATAATTTATTTAAACTTGAAATAATAATAATATTAATAATTTATGCAAACTCGGGATAAATGTTACGATAATATTAGTTATTGTTAATCTTATAACTCTACAGATAGTGCGAGCAGTAACAATAATGCCAAACCACAAGCCACGACTTCAGCTGCTGCAGCTGATGATGCTGATGACGATGGTGATGATGAAAAAGACGATGATATTATAATTGACGTTGATGGGTCGATAGATTTGAAGAATGCCTTCACATTCACGCAACATGAGGACTCTCTTATTGAGACCCACAGGAAGGTTTTCATGTTAGACTGACATTATTATCATTTTCCAAAACTATATTTTACAGATAAATTCTGTTCTTTGTACAATTGCCACAAAATTATAGGGTGATTCTTTTTGAAATTATTAACTGAAAAATCATTGATCAAATTTTGTTTCATTCATTTCTGCAGAATTTATTGCAAGCAAAACGCGTTGGAAGTGTATGACAAGCTGGGATTCAACTATGATCTGATACATCAATTAGTTCTACTACACGTGCACGAAATGCCATCACCAGCTTCATCATTTTACTCACCACCACCATCATCATCACTAATGATGGATTTATTGTGCATGGCTAACAGCAGAGCTATTGAAATGTATGCCTTGATGCAAATCAACAAGAGCGTCAGAGAATGTGTATACAAGTTCTTGAATAACTCTATTAAGGTTTCACTATGTTACGATCAGTAACTTTTGATGATGATGGCGGTAATAGCATAAAATTATAATAGCTCTTATAATGTATGCAATTAAAATGAAATATTAAATGTGGCTTATAACAAACACGTCATAGGAGACTCCAGTTGACAGTTTGATGTCGCTACTGAAAGGTTACCAGTTTAAATTGGGAAGGTTCTTTGCTTCATTTCTGTTAGTGTTAATGTCGTAGTTAAAATTTTTGGAAAATTTGTCGTTTAGACATACCGTCATCATCGTTACTGTTGTCTGTTGTTGTATCTGTGTTGTTATTACTTTTATTTGTTACTGTTGCTGAGCAGGCACCAGTCAACTTATGCTGACGAGGCCGTGAAGACAAAATGTCTAGAAGTTTTTTTAAGTATGAATGATCAGAAAAATCAGTTGAAACTTAATATTGAGGTTATTAATGACTACTTTTTGTTTTTTTTAAGAAGTATACCGATTTTTTTTATTTTCTCTCTTTAGTTTTTTTCTGAGGTATACAAATCTATGTTAATAGGTAGAAGGTATGGATCTTTTTGCATTTGAACCCAGTCAGCTGCAGTTGTTATTTTAGAAAAATCACCTAATTTGGATGATAATATAAAATTATAAACAGTTGATAACAGCGCTGAAGAACCTGTCTTCGTATAAAAATATATACTTCCTGAAGCTGTTTGCAAACTCTTTCAAATCTTCATTCCACCTGCTGGTCAGTGGCAAATAAAATTTTCTGATTTTCTGTTTAACAATAAATATGAAAAAGATTGTAAAACGATTTTTTTAAATAATTATGGAAAAAAAGTGATATAGAAGTGTCAATACCATAGCAACATAACAATATTGTAACAGTTTTAACGATCAGTGTCAGTCTTTATAAATTCAAAAATTAAAATCGTGATATACCTAATGTAATTTTTCTTCCAAGGATTATTTATCCAACGCTAATGATGGGACGTTGAATTCGAATGAGAAAGTTCGATCCGTGGATGAGGTCCATAATATTGTTCATACTTCAATTGTAATGATGAATAAAATAATTACAATGGAAAATTGAAAAACAAATTTATATTTAAAGTAAATATTTGGTTGCTTTTGTTCATGGTGACTTTACATTACGTTCGTTGTTCACAATTTGCAATTAAAAAAGATTTAATTAAGTTTCAGATTCAGAGTAAATTTTTGATAGATTTAAAAAAGGTTGTTGACAAGGTTGTAGAATTTGTATCAAATATTGACACAGTAATACCTAACATTCTATGTAGGAATAATTTATTTATAGTGGTTTAAATATTTTTTAAATTGTATAGTTTTCGTGCAGACGATATATGAAGATTGGAATGGAGGATATCTCTGATGTTATCAGGCACAATGAAATGGGTCGGCAATAAATTTTCATGTCTCGTTTCTTCTTTGATCTTTCTATTTAGTTTTTGCTTTCACTGTTTTTTATCTCTTTCTCTTATTTAATCTTTCTTTCTACAATAAATATAAAATACATGTATTCATTTCCCGTCTGTCTGTTTGTCTCTCTTACTCTCTGTCTCTTTCTCTCTTTTTTTCTGTCTCTCTTTCTCTCTTTTCCTTATTTCTAATGCAAAGAGTTAATAGAACGCAAGACAAAAATTTAAATATTATAATGACGAATTAAATTGTGAGCTTTAATCACACGTAGGTGTCAATTTGATGTTAAATGAACAGAAGGACCATCCTTCATTTTTCTCTGCACCGTCAGACATTCGCTACCATGCACTCATTCAAGTTGCTTTTATTTCATTAATGGTTTTAAAAGGCTAATTATTAACGTGCACTGCCATAATTTTTTATTTTTGACTGCTTTCGTATTTAGTTTGAAATCAATCTATTGTTGCTTTGTAGGTTCAAAAAGTTTACATTGTTGAACATTTTTTTGAAATATAAACTACTTCATTTTTATTTTTATACATTCATTCATGTGCACTCTTTGCAGTACATAGTAGACATAAAATTGAGTGATTTCATAGAGGAGTTGATCGAGCGAGTATCAGATTTGAAATCGTTCAACAGCAATGAAGCCAGCAACCTACTCATTCATTTGATCGCCTCATACGCTCTAAGGTATTTCTTGCAATAACTGAGTCATGTTTATTCAATTTTATCTTTCTTTTAACATTATCACACACACTAGGGATTTCGTGCATCCACATACAAAAACCTAAATTCTGATTTTTACAACAGATTTTTTATAAGTTTTATTCCTTATATTGTTTAACGTTTATCATCAATCAAACGAACAGGATGAACTTGCAAACGCAAACAGCACATGAGGTTCTGGAAAAGTTGAAGTGCCATCCCAATATCACATCCATAACAGAAAGCAACAGTGACGATAAAAAGGACCAACGTAGTGTTGCTGATGAAATAATGAAGAATAAAATGAAAATGATGAAAATTGTTCAGTATGATGTTTATGGTGGGACATATCTTACATGTTTTAATAGTTTTAATCAAACTAAGCATACAATTCAATTTTTATAAACTAATATATTGTTAAGTAAGCTTGGTTGTTGGTTAATTTGAACTTCACCAAACTTGAAATTTCGTCTTTCCCACGTAAATATGAAAAAACAGCTGCACCTAATCCGCCAGAAATATTTTTTGCACTTGTTAGGGTTAAAATATTTTTAAAAAATACTGGAAGGAATGTAAACAGAATGATGATGAATAGACTAGAGTAAAACATTAATTAGACATTTAGATAAGAAGGCGAAATTATAGACATACTGACTCGAGACTGCTATCAAATAAATAAATGTTAAGATTTTTTCTTGCCAGATCATCACCATAAATTTGTTTCTCGTTATCTTGGTGATATGTTTCTATAAGGTTACATCATCATTACATTGAAAGGTTTAAGACATGTCCTGGAAGTTTACAGTCACCCCACTCTGACAGAGGTCATTGGAAAGATCAGGGATGAATTCATTTCCAATTATGTTTCCAATTACGAGTCGTTCAAGGTTCGTTTATTTTCTTCGCTTATTCAGTTATAAAATTTAAATCATGATTAATAGGATGCTTCATTAAATAACGACAAAATTATTTATCCGAGTATTATTATCGTCTTGGATGGTTTCATATTCAGATAGTCCTGGTGAACACCTTGTTTGGCGACATAATTTTGTACAATAAAGTGGACCCGTATTTATCAAGCGTTGACTATGCAGAGCATTGTTATATTACAGGACCTGCTGGTTGTTGTAAGGAAGCAATCCAGCTGTACGCTTCACAGGGTTGGCTATAGTTCCTTTGTCTATTTGTTTGTAAATTAACTTTGAATAATTTTTTAATAGCACGTTATGAAGATTGTAGCAATCTTTGTTATATTGTGACTAATGACAATGTTAGTGAATTTGGGCTGATAAATTTATTTATAAACATTTTCTCAAAGTTTACGAAGACCTGAAAGCTCGTTACACTATGCTCAACATCAGATTGTTTGGGGTTCATTTTGGGGTTGAAACCAGCAAGATAAACAATGTTGACAGTGTCAAAGAAAGTGACGCGAATTCTGCATTCTGGAGCATTCATCGTGTGATGACACATAGGAAAGGATTTCTATGGAACATGGAAACATTCCTGAAAAAGAAGAAATTTGTTGTCTTTCATGTCTGCACGTCTTTTTATTTATTACACGTTTTTTACCACATTATTTAATAACGAAAAACGTGAATTTTTTTCATGAAATATGATAATTTATTATTTTTTCAGTTCTTCATAGAGGTATCAAATGTTCAGATGTTACTCGTTAAGAAGCATTATTTGTTCACTTACATTGAGAGCATCGGTGGCACCACTAGGTACGTATCCTACTTGTTTATCCATCAATGCCTGCATTGAATAGCAAGCTTATAATTAACAAATTATGGCTGCTGATACAAACGTCAGCAACAAAAAAGATAATACTCTAATGATACTGCTAGGTGTGTGCGTTACCATGATTATCCAGCCTGTTTCATGTACAATCAACTGTTCTTCAATTCTCATCAAGTTCTTATTTTATTGAAACTATTTTTTTTAAATAGAACTCGAATGGGCATACAAACCAAATAACTTTCAATATAAAAACCAGGCTCTATTTTACTGGAAATACGAATGCAATAACAACAAAACTGTGTTAACTGAGGAACTAGGAAAGTTGAAAAAAGAGATTTTACTGGCTTACAAAAACAAAAAGTGTCTCAAATTGTGTAACTTAATGTGGATATATGGCAACCTTTACAAGGTAACAGAACTTAAAGATATATTGTTTGTTTCGATGTAACGTTTTCTTAATTCATTTCTGACGGCAGGGCGCAGATGATTTGATGCCTGATTTGTATGCTGTTCATCAAAGTTGGGTACGTAGGATTGATCACCTCATCAAAATAGGTCATTTGACATTATATTGCAAATGAAAAACGTTTAACGTAGAAAAACTGATAAAGTTTAAACGACATAATGAAAATTGTAATTATTGAAAGTAGATCAACATGATAAACCTGCTCACAGGTGGTGTCGTGCAAGATTTGATAAGAATGTTGTTGTTGCACAAGGAGTACTCATCGCTACAAAATGTCGGTGGAAATGAAAGGACGGATCCGCTGGAGAAATCAAATCTTGTGGCTGACTTTGGAGACAACGAATTCAATAAACTGGTATATACCTAATTTTTTGAAACTGTCACCGTCTTAGCATTTCGTCCTCAATTGTTGAACAGTAGCGATTTTTACCAACAGGAAATCCAGATAAACACCATGTTAAATACCTTTGTTATAAAAACACTGGAAATTTGTAGAGAAAAAGTTAGTATGCTATCAACAAACACTTTAAGCCACATAACCGAAACTTTCAAGGCCTTTGTTAAATGTGGAAACGTTCCCGACAGAAAGAAAATGTTTGTTTCTAAAGAACTTGATTTGAAAGTTAGTTAATATTTAACGAACAGTATTTAGAACGATTTGTATAACTCTAAATAAATTTATAACATTAATGTTCAGGCGATCGTGAGAATTGATGAAGTGATTAACATGTTGACAGGAGCCAAAGACATGATCGGTTCTCCTGTTGTAGAAACTTTAACTCGCACACGTCAACAGATATACTACATATGTAATAATGTGTCTGTTTGAAGTAAATGAGGTGTCCGTTGTGTTGAGCTGTCATTTGCAAAACAAAAAAGCAATAACATTAACGCCGGATTGTGTATTTTTTGTGAACACATCTGAGGAAATACCATTATTTTATTTCTCGAAATAACTGAATATTGGTTAAAATAATTAATAAATTAAAATCATGATGCAATTCATGACAATTATTCAATAAATTAGAAGTAAAAATATGTTTCGAATAATAAGCGTCTGCAATAACCGAAATAAAAATGGTATAAATGAATATATAAATAGATATTTTATCAATTTTAATAAGACGTAAGATGCCTTTCAAGTACATTTTGATTAGCTCTATCAGTCATTAAATTTGGAAAAAACAAGGCACTATTAAATAATAATAAATTAACTAATGGCTGTATGAAGCAAAATAATTTTTGAACAGGTCACTAAAGGAGCGTCACAAATTAATTACACTATCAAATAATTTATTTCCTGAATTACGTAATAAAAAAATAGGAAGTAACACGTTCGATGATCTAACTAAACATTTTGCGTGAAATTTATGACGGGATTATTTCACACATAAATAAATCCAGCGCGTTACATATTTAATTAAAAAAACATTTAATGTAGAGGCAACTTACAAAATAAATCCAATGCAAATCTAACGTTCAGTGCAGTTTCACTATTTCTGGCATTTATATGGCAAAGTTTATAAAATTAAACTTCACAAATAAAAATGTTGTTCTGCGACATTAGATCTACAATTATTTCCACAATGTGAACATACGTAAGACATTGATTGAAAACATTTAAATTGAATTTAAGGAATCAAATGGAATATAATAGCGGTTAAATAACTTTCTGTAGTCTGACGCCAGTTAGTGAGATGAGAACAAAAATGTTTTCTAAAGTGAAAACTCCAGGAGAGTGCTATAACTGGCTTTGACGTTTCCAAAATTAGCACATAGAGCTACTTTAAGATCTTGACCTTTGGATTTACCTAGATCTACCTCTCCTTGCCACAATCCTCCTGATTTTTGTTCTAGCTGAATCCAATCATCTCCAACGACAACCGCAACCGAATTGGCTTTAGGTACTTCAACAGAAAACCTTTGAAGATTCCTTGCAAGAACGCCATCCAATGGTGCAAGCAAGTAACATCCTTCCTTCCACTGTCCATACTGTTTCGGGTAGCATGGTAATCCTGTTGCAGCTACGTGACTGCTTATAAGGTAGTTGAACACACCTGGTAGATTCTCATTTGTGTCAGAATATGGTAAAGCATATATTTGCAGTTTGTATAAGCCAGGCTTAGGAAGTCGAACAAAAAGTATTACCTTGTCTGGCTTACTTTGCTGAAGAACGTAGTCTGAAACATCTTCAGCTTTGTTGGCAGAAGAAAATATTAACTGTGATGTAACCCTTATTGGTTGAGTTATTCCCAAATGCACCTGAAGTTCGCCAGAATCTGCTTGGATGTATGGATCAATGTGGCTCAATGTTGTTAGGCCGAGCTTTTTAAACATGGGTTGTGCACCCAAGTAGCCACTGGGCAAAGTGGGCAGCGGTTCAACATATCCAACGTTTTCATCACACAAAATCAAATATTGGAAAGCATGATAAAGTGAGTTTCCGTCTGCTTCAGGATCATTTGCATATATTTCAAGACCAAATTCTCCTCTGGAGGGAGCATTGATGGTAAACACAGCTACATCTCCAACAACTCTATGCATCACGTGACCAGCTAAAGCTTTTTCGTTGTTTTCATGCTCGTTGCTCTTCAGTTTTGCAGTGAAACGCAGCTCTTTTGGAGTTTGGAAACGAACTTCAGCTAAGCCATTAACTGTGCAAAATATTGCTCCCTTTTGAAGAGGAACCAGTTTATATTTAGCAGCACTGTCTCCTGGACCCCAACTTGTATGAACACACGGTGGGAATGGCATTGGTTGAGGTGGAGCCACTTCACATTTTAATTCGTATTCACAAACGCCTCCATAAACTCCTTCTTTTGTTTGCTGGTCTAGATCTTTGGCATAGATTATGAGTCTGTATGACCCTTTTTCAGGAGGTCTTATTGTGAAAAATGAAACATTGTCTACCATTTCTTGCATTCCAAATCGATTGAGCTTAATATTTTTGTAATCTTCAATTCCATCATCTTGAGTGAGAGTGAACGTGAAAGCCAAAGACTGCATCTGAAAATTTATAAAAAAAATTGAAAATGCAAGCAATAAATAAGAAAGTATTGTTGGTAGAATGATACACAAATTTGTACTTGTGTGAAATACATAATAAAATACAAATTGTTCAACATATATAATACAAATTGCAAAACCTTGAATGGAGGACATCCAATCCGGACAGTAACTTCTTGTTTCGTCTTGATAACTGCTTCTCTGTGTCCGAGAATTTGTAGTCCATATTTGAAAAAAGCAGATTTAACTGGAACTAGGTTTTCAAAGTCAGCTAAAGAAATAGATCTTTCTAGAAGTTGCCAATTGACTTCATCAGGGAAATGAGTGAAGATGAGTTGATGAGGATCTGGCATGAAGTAATATTCATCCAATTCATATCTAACATTTTCCGCAGTCACCTATTATAGTACAAGTTGAAAATATAAAATTAAAACTTTATAAAAATGAAAAATTTAATTATTTAAAACAAAAAGTTTACAACTGACCTTTTTCCCAACCAATCTTCGTGCAGCCCAGTGACAATCAACCAATCTCCAAGCTCCATTGACGAGCACAGCATTCCACGAGTGTTGCCCCTGTTCGTTTACAAATTTCATTCCTGGCTTGTACTCTGCGCCTTTTGCATATCCACTTATGGTTTTACAGTGGAGGCCTGCATAACTGAATTAGTTGTTTCACCAATTAGAATATGAAAATTTTAAACCTATTTTCAAACAAAATGTTTAAACGTGAAAAAGTATTAAAACTCTCCCAAACATTCATCAGTTGTAGTGATCTGTTAACACGAAATAAAGAAACCTGCAAAGTATTTCATAGACGACGGCATAGGTTGTTTGACCTTTCTGCAAATTGATGAGAATCTCCTCAGGCGAGCCTTTCTGTGCTGAATCAAAGTTCAGCTTGGTTAGATCTTTTGAACAAAGCCACAAAAATATAGCCCTGTTCAATTCAAATTAATCTATTATCATTAAATGCTCATATCCAAACAAAATTTTACACACACGTGAACAAACACGCGTGTGTGTACTGTACATATCTACGCCGCGTGCATGTGTGTGTACACACGCCTTTTATTAATATTTACATTTATTTCCTTATTTTACTAATGTGCTACTCGTTTCTGCAAATAAAACCTTTCACTTAATCATTTTAGAATACCAAGCAACTTAATCACATAATTACTGAAACATCCTGGAACGATACATTCAAACACTTAAAGACAAACAATTAATTGTATTGCAATAGCTGAATGGGCATTCCTTTTCTATTGAGACAGAACAACCATAGAAAACTTTAGAATATGAGCACATTTTTAATGTTGCAATTTTGGACAGACTCAGTTCAGAAATCTATTGAATGTTAAATAAAGATGAAAATGATGATGACTACAGATTAGTTAAATGATTATTCATTTAAATATCGCAGCACCAAACATAATATCGTCATTACCACTATCATCAATATTTACCTTGCTTTTTCAAGTTCATTGGTGATTTCACGAGCGTAGATAAGATGCCAGACCAAATCTCTGAAACTCTTATGCTCTTCTTTCGATACCTACCAAGTGTTAACAACATTTCATAATTAATTTAGTGCAAACACATAATAACATTGATAACATATAATCATTTAATTACTACATATCCACACAGAATTACATGGATTTATGAGCGTCACAAACGTTGACTAACTAATCAAACTATAAACTGAATAGTTACCTCAACGGCATGGGTATCAACATTCTGGAAAACACTGGTATCTTTGAAGGGCTTCGGAGGAACGGCAGGTGGTTCCGGTTTTGGAGCAACATGTTGCTCAATTGGAACAGGTTTAAAACTTTCAGGAGCCTTCATTGTAATGTGACTCGTGTATGTTTTCTGTGGGTGGGGTTTGTATTCTTGTTCTGGCTCTGAAGGAGCAAACTGACTGAACTGCTGTGATTCTGGAATGTCTCCGCCAAATGGATAGTTAACTTTCTGGTAGGTGTTCTTTCCTGATTAAGATTTGTGGCGAATGTATCACAAACCACGAAACAGATGACTGAAATGAGCTCATGAAACAGATAAACAGACGACAAGAAACAAACCATATTGCTGTGGGTAGTTGACGGATGAATTACCACCAGGAGTGCCTCCATAAGTTGCAGCTGCTGAACCAGGCGGTGGTGGTGGGAAATCTTCACCTTCATCATAATTTTTAAAATTTTGTAAAAATAAAAAGTCAACTAAATTATTTTATATATGAATAAATATATCTCCTAAAATCCACTCTAACCCTAGCATAAATTAAACTACAAATTAGATAGTAGCCAGTGCGTACACGTCGTGAAAGATGAGCAATAGCATAGTGGTAAAAGTAGACGACGGGTATGCCGGTGGGCTAGACTAAGGCCAAAAGCCAAAGCTGTGCTTAATCACAAGTTCAGATTATTTGGACGCCAAAGCTGAGTACAATTAAACTGGTAGCATCACGCATGCCGGACATGCAGAATCTGCCTCTCCTCCTATGCTGCCTAAAGTTAGAGTGGTCAGAGAAAAGCCTCTGTAAATAGGGGTACCAACCAGGATAGAAATCAATCCGCAGCCTTGCGGTCTAGGCTATTTAGCCAAAGGCTAGGTCCATCGCTTACAATGGATAGAAAAACTTGCTCCAACTAACAATGATGTCATCTGCTCATGATAACAACGTCCCTAGTCCCTAGCAGACCTTAAATGGTCAAGGGGTGCTAAGAATTTCTGGGTACAGGTCGAATGCAGCAATGGAGGGCTGTTGCAAACGACTAATTGACTGGTCTGTCCATGTAAATACGGCTTGGAACGCTAAACGTTGGACAAAGGACGTTTAAACGACGATTGATTGATTGATTGAATAAACAATCAAAAAAAGCAATGATAAATGAAACAAAAAAAACTCATGTATACAACCATAAAATCTTTATGAAATAAGCGTGAACAATGGACAAAGGACGTTTAAACGACGATTGATTGATTGATTGAATAAACAATCAAAAAAAGCAATGATAAATGAAACAAAAAAAAACTCATGTATACAACCATAAAATCTTTATGAAATAAGCGTGAATGTGTTAGAAAAATGTTTAAATGTGCAAAAAATACCTTGTAAAGTTCCACTAGGCAATTTACTGCCACCAAGTGCAGCAGCTCTGACAGGATCTGATTTTCCGCTAACTATAAATTTGTTGGTACATGAATGATCGGATTGTAAATGTAATGTGCATTGAAACAGGCAAGGTGATGACTAAACAAGTTTGTAAGTTCTAAAAATTTTTACATTTATAACAAATAGTGTTAGTCAAAACAAGCAAAAGGTAATAACAGTTAAGCAGGATACAAATTAATCTGCAAATTTTCTAAACAGTCATTTATCATTTGGATAAATAAAGCAACTGCGGGTAAAAATAAAATTATAGATTGAACTGCTAATAAAATCAACTCAAAGTTAAGTTTTTGAGTAAAATTATACGTTATAGAATAAATTATTCATCTTTTAAAAAAACTAGAAAAACTATTAAATAAAACTGTTAACTAAAAATAATGCAAAAATAATTAATTGTTAACAAAAAACGTAAATAATTACAAAGTGTTAAGCAGATAATTATAATAATTAGAAAAAATAATTACATACAACGGTTAGGTATAAAAAAGATAGCTAATGTTGTTAGTCTATGAACAACTAAAAAAAAACATAAAATATCATGCCTTTGATCTGAGATGATGAAGTAAGGATGTTGGATGATGATGGCTGGGATGATGAAGTTGGTGAGGTTATCACTGATGACGGTGATGATGATGATGATTTGGGAACAGAAGATATTGAAGCTATATTATCATTTGATCCTTTATTATTATCTAATGACGAAAGGATAAAAGTTTTAATAAATAAAACAACTAATTAAGTTATAAAAACAATTACAGAACTAAATCAACTTTAAATAAATTTAGAATGATTATTCGAATGTGCAAAAATATAACACCAATCGTGCATAAACTAAAAAAAAGTGATTGATAGAATTAAATTAAATTTAATGTAAAAAAAATTGCTAGCTAAATAGCTAAAAAAGTCTTTAAAATATTTCAAAATAACATATAAAAATTCGTAACTGTGTAAGAATTCAACAACTAAAACAAGCAAACCTAACTCACCGGCAATAGATGTAATGTTTGAAGACGGTTTAGTAAACTTAGTGGTCCCAAGTTCAGAGCCATCTGAAACAACTCCAGGCTTATTTGGAACTGTTGGACATGGAATTAAGTATACAAATTAAAACATTAAACTCTCGCCAAATGAAATATACAAGTCTGATTTAGAGGAACTGTGTTATTCTATTTCGAATGGTAATAAAATAAAAAAGCTAATAAGATCATCAAAATTGGCAGAGCAAGAAAATTTGACAGTTGTGATTACATGACAACAGTGAAAAAATAAAATTGCAAAACCTTTAGGTGGTGGTTTGGGCGATTTCTTGGCAGGGCCAGCCATAGTAGCACCAGGGACATAAACAATCTCCACTGGCTTCTTGTTTGTTTCATCTCCTAGACTTTCTATAAGTAACATTAAACAACTATGAAAGATGCTATTTGTAAATGTATATTTGTTAAACAGTGTAGTACCATTATGATCAATAACATTAGCTGATATAAATAGTACAAGTAATGGTGTTACATGCATTTTCAATTCTATTTTTGTTTAAATTTTCGTGGTTTAAAAATAATCATTTGTAAGAATATTTAAGCCGAGGAACACCTTGAGACTTGCGGAGGTTGGAGGCAGGAGTTGCAACTTTCTCAGTGATGTTGGTGACATAGACGATTTCAAGTGGTTTTTTAGTTGTTACATCTTCGACTGTTGTCCCACCTGACAATATCAAATGTGAGGTTTCTTTTAAAGTCATTTCATATAGAGAGTTTGCCGCGAATCACATGAGCACAAAAATTACGAAAAATCCACATAGCGTAAGCATCACACAATATTGTTATAATTACTTAGATTGTAGCTATCAGTAACAGACATTTGAATGGGAACATATTTAAATGAAGCATCGATGTTGCTGATGAAATAATTGAATGTATGTTTGTCACCTGTTGACATGAGAGGAATTATGACAAAGCCTCACGACATGTGTATGAAAAGTATAAACAACATACGCAACATGAAAGCAGTAAAAATATAGAACAAAATTAATTATATAAAATGTGAAAAAAAATTAAACAGAAAGATTAAGCGTATGATTGAAAATAACAAAATGATTATAATGTTGAAAGAGAGAATCACATAGTAACTTCAAAATATGAAAATGACAATTCACAACGACTACAAAATCCAATTTGAACCAATTTGAAAAAAGACATAAACTGGCTGGAAGAACCTGTCTTGTATGGAACAACTGGCCTTCCATAATCTGTTTGTCTGCCATAAATATTTGAGGAACTACCATATCCTGAGCCACGACGCGAAAGTGAATGTAACGAAAATAGCAAATTTGAAAGTGGAAATGTTAAAGCATTTACAAAAAATAATTAAAAATTATTATCAATCATGAACAATTTTAAATAGTTAGCTGGGAAAACAAATTCCGCAACAGAGCTCTCTGTATCACAATAGAGCTCTCTCTCTCTCTCTCTCTCTCTCTCTCTCTCTCTCTCTCTCTCTCTCTCTCTGACACAACACTATGAAAAGAGTAGCAATAACAACAAATATTAGCTAATTTTTTATGACCGAATCATTTCATTTTTTTGAGAGCAGCTATCTATCATCGTTTCACCACACAATAAATGTAATAATTATAACTCTCATTCTTGCTTTCATTGTAAATGAAAAATGTTCATCAAGAGAGATCTCTTGAAATCTAATACTAATACAAATAATAAGAAGAAGAAGAATATAATAACAACATAATAATATAACAAAAAAATATAGGGAATAATTTTGAGACCATATGCAAAGTCAAGTAGTCTTAGCTGAAGATAATTAATAAAATAATGGGCAGGTTGATCAAGGATGTTAGCTGTCTTGCAAACAATTTTATTTTCAACATTAATAAAATGATAAGCTGTTAAATGCTAACTATTAAATATTATTATGAAATTACAACACAAGCACACACACACGAACGCACGCACACACATACAGATGAAAATGAAAAATGAAAACCAACAGATAAGTGAAACACGAACATACAATGAACAAAAAAGGACAACAACCAGTAAACACAGGAGTACATTCCATGTATAAAATTTACAATATAAGAAAATATATCAGTACTGAAAATAATAATATAAAACATTTATAAATTAATTATACGGAGTACTCACTATGAATAACATGGATATTTACAAACAAAGCACATAACTAAAAAGCAAAAACCAGCAAGAGAGGGAAAGATAGAGAAGCAGAGAGAAAAAGAGAGAACGAAAGAGAAGAGAGAGAAGAGAGAGAGAGAGAGAGAAGGAGAGACACCAACTAAACAAATAATGTTTTCAATTACTTTGATTATCACCAGCTGCATTGGGACCTTGCTGAAAGTTTTTATTTGATTGATCATTAGCTCCCTGGGGAACACCTTGTCCATAGTATCCTGAAAATGTGATCGTTTGTATAATTCTGTGTCTGTGTGTGTCTGTGTGTGTGTAAGTGTGAGAGTGTGTGTGTACGTTTGGTTGCTTTTTACTTGTATGCGTATATGCACAGTGATAATTTAACGCAATATAATGCAACATGCTTTATTTCCTCTTTCAACTTCTTCTCTAAAAAAAACAATGAGAAGAAGGAAATAATGAGAAGAATAAGACATCTCTGCCAACAGTGATTATTAAACTGATTTGATCTCTAGATATTATCATCATCATCATCATCAATTTATTCAACAATAGCGTAACTAGAAAATACTAGAAAATAATCGAATAAATACCCCACAATCCAGGTCAAGTTGAAATATTGCAATATAAAAAAAAACAATTTAAAAGCCATTAAAAATTATTTATTGCATCACAACCCTATAGTAAATTTGGCAGCAATATTGAGCTGATATAAAGGAGGATGGTGAATAAAATAGAAGACATCATAATATAAAAATGATGACAGATTAAAATGAACAGGCAATTATATTTAGTCAAAACCATGGACAACAATAACAACAACAACAACAACGATAACAACAACAACGATAACAATAGCAATAACAAAGCTAAAAATATGAAAAGTGGCAATCTAAAAAAAAATTTTATTACTAATTCTGACCTGCTTGTTGAACTCCTCCCGGCCCATAATAACCTTTGTGGGTTAACATTATTGTATGTATGTATAGCAGTAACAGCATACATTCAAACGCCAGTCATACGTTATATCACCAGAAAATTTATCTATTAAAGATTTAAAATCATTAATGTCAATAACATTAACGGCATCAGAAGGTAATTTGCTCCGATCATTCAATCATTCAGCCATTGTTCAAGCAAGCAAAACAAAACACCACATTAAAAAATTATTTAATAAAATATTAAAAATTAATAAATGAATTAAATAATAAATTAGATAACTAAAATTACACCGGTTTTAACCAATTTCATTATATAACACAAATTATATAATTATAAAGAAACAAATGAAATTATATAAAACAAATGAAACAATAAAACCAAACAGAGATAAATGATATTATATAAACTAAAGTTACTTGGATCTTGAGTCCCATCTGGTTGTAATTGTTTTATAAATAAAAATTGAAGCAAATAAATTTTATTGTTAATAAAATAATAACTAAATGTTTTTTTACTTAGGAAAAAACAACTGATTTGATGAAACAAAAACCATTGTAATATCAACTAAATTCAAACGGAAATTTGATTTATAACAAAAAATTGCAACGAAATAATTTAGTGAATATGAAACAAAATTGTTGAAATATTCGTCAATCACCTGCCGGTTTAGTACCATAATATGACGTTTCCTGCACAGTGCCTCCCGCTCCAATCGGTCCACCGTAGTAAGCTGTATGTTAGACTACATTAGATTATATGATCAATAATGGGAAGTACAACATAACGCTACAACCATAACGTAACTTATTGAAAATACGCTTGAGTTATTGAATTGATATCATAAAAATTACGTGTATTCCGATCTTGAGCTGTCCCTGGTGCAGTTTGTTTGCCAGCAGGTTGGTTCATGTAGCCACCAGGGCCATATCCTGATCTTCCTCCTTCATAACCCTGATACTCATCTCCACCTAACAGAATTAGGAAATAAAATAAGCTAAAGATAAATTTTTAAAATGAAAAATTAATAAAGTCGAAAAAGTTTAAAAAAATAAAATAAGGAAATGTGACCTCCAGGTTTTCGTTGTTGTTGCTGATAGGCTTGATTCATCTGATCACCTCTTCCTCCAGCATTGTACATCTGCTACGGTTTTTACGTTTAGCTTAGCATAAAACATTTGAAACATTAGAGTTTAACAAATGCATTACAATATCATAACATTTAGTAACCTGTTGTCCTGGCTGTTGTCTGTATGTTCCAGAGCCATCACCTTGGTACTCATCTGGTCGATATCCAGATTTTCCTTGGTACATCTGACTGTCCCAATCCTGAACTGGTCCACCAGGTGGAACTTTCCCTCCTTGAGGTCCATATCTCACAGCCCCTGCAGCAGGCAAAGTTCCAAATTGGCCACCAGGTCCAGTATATAAAGTAGGTGGAGCCTGCATTGTGGCAGACAGATCAGTTCTATCAAAGACCTGTCCATAGGTAGCTGCAAAATCTCTGTCTGAAAAGGAGACGAGATACTGACAAATGTGTGTGTAGGTATCTCCCTCTCTGATTGGATCGTTGGCATAGATTTCCAATCCATACTCTCCAGAAGCAGGCAAAACAACAGTAATGTAGTCAGCATTCTCCTGTTCAACGACAGAAACAGCTTCTTCCAAAGCATCCTCGTCGATGCCCTCCTTAACAAGTCGAGCAAACAGTCTTATATCTCTGGTTTTCTTAAACATTAAATCAACACGACCATTCGGAGCAGATATCAATGCAGTCTTTACACTAGGAGTGAGTCCATATTGTTTGACAGGTGCACCGGCACCCCAGTTTGCATCAGAACAGAGAGGATACGGCTTAACATCAGGTGCTGCTTGGTCACAGATTATTTTGTATTCACATGCAGCTTTGAAGACATTTTCAAATTTCATCTTATCCGCTATGGGTTGAGCAAACACCGTCAAATAATACTTGCCCTCTCTCGGAGATCTGAAATAAAATGTCACTCTATCATCTGTAGTTTCCTGGAGAACATATCTTTTCAACTGCAGTCCTTGAACAAATTCAGAATTATTTTCAACAGAAACCAGTTTAAAGGTGAAGGCTGTTGGCTGAGTAAAACCAAGAGTGACAGTGACGACGCCACGCTTTGTGAATATAATTCCACGATTCTGCTGAAGGAACTGCATCCCAATATTGAAGAAGAAGGATTTGACAAGTGGATACTCTTCATACTCCAGTCTGGATCTCACAGGGTGGATGAGTTGCCACTGTGGCTCCTCTGGCATGTGGCTGTACACCAGCATTCCTGGCTCTGTAAGGAAGTAGAAGTCATCATATTCATAGACCAAACTCTCTGGAGTGTTACGTTCTGACTGTGGAAGCAAATTGAATATAAAAATAATTAAATAAATTAAAAATTGAAAATAAAAATAACAAAATAAATTAAAAATTAAAATGAAAAGTATATAACAGCAGTTATTTTTACTATAAAATCACACTGAACCTGGAGATATCTGGTGGCCCAATGGCAATCAATCAGCTGCCAACAGCCATCAATAAATACCGCATTCCAACTGTGGTTAGGTGGGATGGTTGTCAGTGGCATGCCTTTAAACAACAATTGCAAACGTAATAATTGTATTACATAATTGTATTACATAATTGTATTATAAACGTGTACAAATAAATACAGGTATTTGAGCGTACACATAGAAATAACATGTAATATAATAGTTACCTGGCTTGTAATCAACACCTTTAGCCCAGCCAGATAATGTAACACAATGCAGTCCTGCATAGCTAATAAACAAGCATTCAACATTAGCAACATGCAACATCATATTAATACTATTTATCAACAATCCTAAATCAGATATAAACAATTTACATTTCTACATGTTTCATTTAATACAGTTGAAACTCTTATTTGAATGAGGTATAAGCACGAAGAAAAATAAATTCCTCCAACAGACCAGGCAAGGCATTCAAATATCTTGGCGTAAGTTGTCTTGCCATCTTTGAAAGCTCCAAGAACTTGTTCAGGTGACCCAGGAAGTTCACTATCAAACATTATTGTGAACAAATTTTTTGTAGTCATCCATCTGAAGATGGCCCTGTATATGTTGTTAGATGTATAAATTAGCATGTAATATAACATGCATTATGAAATTGCATGTGTATTTATCTAGAAGATTAGCTTGTGGTTGATAAGTAACACTACTGATTATAAATATGATGTTGATGATGCTGAAAATGACAATATAATAACTTTCAGCATCAAATTAAATCCATAGTTTTTGACTAATTGAAGACTCTTGTGAATGAAACATTGAATCAACCATCAACTACAAAGTGTACATGCATAATCAACAACATATACAAATAATTATATAATATGCTACATTGAAGCTAAATGTATGTAGGCAAGTATACACATATTTAAAAATATCCATAAAATATGAATCTAACAAAGCTACAACTTGAAGTGTATATGGCTAGGTGTATATGTTGATGTATGTGTTTGCTGTGTATTTGTAAGCTTGTGTTTTCATGCGAAAGCTCACATGTGTTAATACACTGAAACAGAGCAAAAGAACTTGAAAGTTCTAAGCAATATAAAGAGTATCAATAATAACATATGCATAGCCACTCATAATGATGTGGAGGCTGCAAATATTTGTACAAAAAATTGAACAAATATTCACATAACTCAGGTGCATGCAAGACATAAATTGTTCTTGCTACTTTTTCAAACACTGAAATGAATCAATGATCAATAGATAGATAGATGAATGAATGAACTGGATGATGGATAAGTTAATCATGGTGTGCATTAAATAGAAAATAGATTGTCAAACAAACTGTCCTTTTTATTGAATTGTTATCTTTAAAATTAACACAAAAAATAAAACATTGAACAATCTGACAACCAAATGCTAATACAAAAAATTATTTAAAATAAAAATAAGACAATCAACTAGCTACCTAGCTTTTTCCAATTCATTCCAATGTTTCTTGAAGACCAAGTTCCACATGAGCTCTTTAAAGTTTCTGTAGTTGGTTCTGGCTTCCTAAACATTGTTAGCAGTAAACATACTATGAAGGAAAAACTAGTTAACTTCACAGCAATGCATAAAAATTTAATGTTTCAGACCAGAGTCTTGCAAGAGTGTCCAGACAACAGTGCCTTTTCACAGTAATTTAAAACATGCTAAACATCTAATAAAACATAATAAGATCACAGTAGATGAAATAGATTTCAAACATATAAAACTCTGTGTCAGTATCAAAAAATGTGTCAAAAAATTAACTGTTTGTTACAAACATGTAGTGTAAAGAAGACAGAATGATTAATGAATTAATAAATAGAAAAAAATCAAGATGAAGTTAAAAGAATTAAGAAAGAAAGAAAGAAAGAAAGCAGACAAAATCGGCATTGCAGTGATAAAAAATAAACAAAATAGATAAACATGAAATGTATAGAGGAGAGATGTTATCAAAGACCATATGGACCAGTTAGCAATAACTTCAGGGAGTCAATTTTCATATATAAGCTTTGTCTTCATCATCCGTGATCAAAACTATTTACTAAACAATATTGTTCTTGTTATACACAATTACAAATTAAAAGTCAATTAAATTATTGTTATTTTAATAAATATACCAAAAAACAAAATGTTATAAAATATAAGTTGAATGTGAAGGCGAAGAAGATGAAGATGTTGATGATGATGAGGAGGTGTATGTTGGTGGACAGAACTTTGTTAAACAAATAAACAGGTGCATGCAAGAAATGTGTGCTCAAGTATGCTCCATCATTATTACTTCACCCATGTTTATGTACAATTCAAGTATAAACAAAATTTAACAAACAAGCAAATGTGCACTCACGCACGCACACACACAAACATACACGCACCCATAAACACACAGGATAATTTTTGCACTGGCATCCATTCTTTAAATTACAAAATTATTTTCAAATAGTCTGTTTGTTGTCAGTCAGTGCAATCACTAAACAAGATCTTTTTAGATTTATACTAATAAGATTTTTATAATCTAATAAAAAAAATTTAAGAAGTTAGACCCAATTACAAAGTAGATGAGTACCAGCTAATGTTTTATAATAAGAAATTGAACAAACAGGTGATAAGAAAACTAACATTGACAGAATGATCATCTATAATTCTGAAGACACCAGGGTCATTGTAGATCTGCCTCTTGATGTACCTTGGTGGAACTGGGGGTGGCCTCAAACTTGGGTTGGCTGGCTGAAGGAAAAAATTCGGGGGCACACTCATCTTTCAGTTTCACTTTCAAACAGTTTCTCTGTTAGGTGAATTTGCACTGTGAATTATACAGAGATTATAAAATTGTTTAATTAATAAGCACAAGCTAAATGCAAAGTAATTAAAACACGTAAAAATAGAAATAATAGATCTATAATAAAACAAACTTAATCATATTCATTTATGTATTTACTCAAGAAAGATTAGACTAAGAGCAATATTGATAATAAGCACCCATTAAGAGAACAAATAAAATTCAAAGAAAGAGTTAATAAAGAGGATATCCATTCAAAATATTTAAATGAAGTTTCATTTCAAGACATCATGATGATTCACTTAATATTGTTACATATAATAAACACAATCAGTTTTATACATATTATATATTTTGTTTGTACACACCCACGCACGCACGTACGCACGCACGCACGCACACAAGACAGAAAAAAAGATAAAAGAGGCAGAAGAGAAGATGATAACAATGATGGCACTTGATTGATATAGACAGATAGGCAGTTGGGGAGAGAGAAGAAAAGAGAGAGAGGAAAGAGAGAGGGAGAGAGAGAGAAAGAGAGAGAGAGAGACAGAAACAACCACAGACTAATAATACAAGATTGCAGTGTTGTACATTAACCCAGCATTAATTCATTCACATTCAGTGATTCATCTACTGAGTATAAATGTAATGCAGTCAATGAATGAACAAGGATGATGATAGTCTGTGTAGTAAGTAACATAATGGCCATGCATATTTATTTATCTACATGTATGCAGCTTTCAAATCAGGAAACAACATATTCTGGGAACAAATGATGAATAAACAGATAAGAACAACATGGGAAAATGATCCATTGTCCAATTACTTCAATAGCAGCCATATTATTTTAAATTTATATTTTAAACTTTAAAAAATGTTAGAAAAAAAATACAGATTATAAAAGACAGATTATAAATAATATTTGAATTTTAAAATTTTAAAATAATGAGTTTTTTCAATGTTTATTTATTATGTATTTTTGTATAATATATCAAAAAAGTATAAATGTGTGTGTGTCATCAACTATGTTTATTAGACGTTTTTTTAAGTCTGATCTGAAATCTGATACATAGTTATTATATTATCTAATCAATGAGATGACCAATCTGATCTGATCTGATCTGATAGTCAAGTTTATCACCTATAGTACAGACAAGTTTTTTTAAATGTTTCACTTGTTAATTGCCAGTAAAATTAAAAAATTTAATAAATTAAGCTAACCTAACTATAAAAATTTTCTTGTTAAATTAAATTAAAGAATTAGAGTTTTTTTCAATATTAATTAATTATTAATAAAATGTAAAAATTCCAGTCCAGGTAAAAATTGAAAAATGGAAAAAGGTTTGCTAACATATAAAATTATAAAATACAAACAAATAACCAAACCTTGTCAATTTTCTTTTCAAATGATAATTTATAATTTTTTATTAATAAATCATATAAACTATTAAATACGAACGAACGAATGAAAATTCAAAGACAGACTCGAGGTAACAATATCCGGCCTATGTAGAATCACGTCAGTCACGACAGTCAATTAGAACATTGCAACATGTTGCTTTGCTTATATAGCGCTGTATTGATCAAACGTTAACTAAAAGATCTATTATACATACATCCTGTACATATTGCCATAGCCATGTTAACGTGATTCATTCACTCATTCAGTGGAATCACCTAACTATAATATAATTACGTCATAAATTATGATTAAATTATTAATTTGTTTTTGGAATCCTTTTGTATAAAAAACGTCCCAACATTCATTCAAATAGAATTCAAAAAAAGATGTATGTTTTGTTCTTATAAAGAATAAGTTTTATTTAAATAACAATGTGGCGTAATAAAAAGCTGTTGATAAATATATAACCATCAAAAATCTCTTTCGAAGTCAGTAGGGAAAGGTGTACTATTCCAATACTTATAACTGCTTAGATTTTGTAATTGTAGTTCTACTAATTAATTGTCCAGCGTGTCAAATTTGTTCTTATATTATCCTCGAAACTTGGTAGCGTGCATCCAAATGTGGTGTTCAAGAAAACCCTCTACGATTTAAACGTAAGATTCAATTTATTTTAATGGTGCCGTCAACGTAAAATGACATTTGATGTGACGATTAGTGTTTTTTGTTGTTAACCTGCAATCCTTGTCGATTAGTCCAAAATAGATGAACCTTAAAATTAAATGTTAAGATGAAACCATAATTCTTAAGTCGAAAAAACATTTGAATACACAAAAACATTATAAATAAGATAAAATTTAGAGATAAAAATCATGTATCTCAAAGTATGATCACTATTAATCTACATCCGGCTATTGAAATACGAAGCAGAATAGAAGAGCTTGAATAAACTTTAACGCAATTAAATCGCTTTTTGCACAAAAAAACGTGATTATAAATTTTGTTCGGTGCTTCTCAGTGGAGTGGAAACAGTCTTAGCATGAACCTTGAAAATCAAAAATACGAATAAACTAGAGGCTTCGAAACGTTGACCCATCTGAGAATGTTCAGAAAGAATACCTTTCCTAATAAAAATAGCATTGGACGTTGTCGAGAAGTTAATGTGACAAAGTAACTATTTGAAAAACACGAGCAACGTTTTGATACAATATTATCACGAAAACAAGAACTTGTCATAAAAAAAGTTACGAAATAATAGTAATGATAATAACAACAATAATAAACTGATAGAGTTTAACAGAAACTTCTTAACATTACATGTAGCTCATACAGAATTAATAATAAAAAATAAATGAACCATTGTTTTTATTAGAACGTACAGAATTAGATACAATACAAATAAATAAAAATTAAATTAACAAAAATTAAAAACAACTACAATTAGTTGGCCCAGTTAGCAAGAAATTAATCGACAGCTCACTCATTTTGTTGGGGAGCATTATGCAAGTTCAACGCACAATACATGAAAACCTCGCAATCAAATTACAAACTATTTCATATTCATTTACTATTATTATTTATTATACACTATTATAAGTCGTTTAACTAATAGTATTAACACTAAAACAACTTGACTCTAAAATCATTTTACTACAACAAAACATTTGACATCTACACGTAAATTAAAATGTAACGCATCAAACACAATATTGTTACACTTTACTTTACACATGTGACACTCATCACAAGATTTGATTAAAATCACTTGAAAAATAAATAACCAAATAATTAATATCGTAAAAAGCACACGTACATTTAAGACAGTTTTAAATTATAACATTACCGCAAACTACAGTAAAAGTTTTACATTTCGAAGTTAGATGACATTAAGTTAAACTAAACCTCACAGAACCGATTCTATCAGCCCGTGAACATGTTCCTGATTAGGTTTAAAACATTATTAATTAAATTAAGTTCATATAGATATGGAAAACCTAAAACTATAGACCACTAAAAAAATTGTCTGCGTTAAATTGCTTCAAAGTGTATAAGATATGCTCAAAGTAAGTTGAATGATAAAAGTTGACAGACTTAATAAAATGTATACATAATAATGATAATAATAATACAACCTGCTCATAAGAATAACATTTACAAATTACAACACCATAAAGTAACGAAACTAATTAAAAAAATTAAGAACAATATATTGATTAAACAAGAATATATACAGCTTGAACAGTCGTCATTAAATAAACAATTATCAATGCTATTAAACATTACTAACAAAATTAAAGATTAAACTATGATCAAATGCAAACAATTATTCCCTTAAGGCACAGAACTACACGTTAGCCAAAAAAATTCATTGGTCAAACTTTATTGAAATTAAGAAAATTTATTTAATTGGTCAAATCTCATTAGAAATTTTTATATGAGAAGTTACATACCCTTCTTAACAAAATTATTCTAAAAAAAAAGAGAGTGAAACATATATCTCCAAATATTATATGAAAACATATATCAATTTATTTGACTTCTTTGTATATTAAATTAAAAGAAGCTGCACAACTAAGACCTAAATAAAAAACAAAAGAAATTAAAAAATTCATCTTCACTAAGCAAAATTAACCTTAGTTTAATCATGGCATTAAAAAGATTAAAAAATCAAATTTCCTACAATTATGGAACACCGATCAAATATACAACAAAAAATGTAGTAGTACCATTTCAGTAAATGCTGATTTAAAACAATAAAAGATTCATACCAATAAAAAAAAAGGTTTAGGATTTAAAACTAAAAACTAACCAAATATTTGTAGCAATAAAGATGGCATAATAAAAATAAATTACCATGTGTGACAATATCCACAAACCAATTTCACAATAGACAGAAGTTTAATTTAGTTTTGACTATCGGGATATATATATAACAAGGTTAAAATCATTGAGCTGAATATCTAGCTCAAGACAAATTTGAATATTGTAAATAGCCATAAATCCTTCATCATCAGTAAATTGACCTTTTAAATTTTAAATGTGAGAATTAAAAAAGAGTAAAATGTAATTATACAAAAAATGTTACTACAACATAATAAAAACAAGATGCTAAAATTACATAGTCTACAAATTTACCACTTAAAATAGGAAGAATAAACATAAAGTTGAGAAAGTCCAAACATCATCCTCATCATCGTCATCAAATGATTCATCTGCCAGCAGTAGTTGGACCAGCAGATTTTTGCTTCAACATCGTCCAGTCAAAAATATAATCATAAGTGTAGTTGAGAGTGCGGAACAAAATTCTAAACAACTGTCTCAAGTACATGTAATCTGGTGCTTCATCAAAACGAAGGTTTCGACAGTAATTTAAATACATCATGAATTCTGTTGGAAAACTTTTACACAACACTTCAACTGGTGTTGACATTTTTTTTTCACTAATTTTGTCATATTTTTGTTTTTTGTTGACAGCCTTCATTCCTTGCCATGGCAATGATCCCCTGTTGAAGTACATCAAAACATGGCCCAATGACTCTAAATCATCTCTACGACTTTGTTCAATGCCTAAATGAGCATTTATACTGGCGTACCTTGCTGTTCCAGTTAAATTTTTATCTTCTCTGTATGGTATGTGGGCCCTTGTACGACTGTCTCTGTATTTTTTAGCCAAACCAAAATCAATGAGGTATACTTTGTTACAATTTCTACCAATACCCATTACAAAATTATCAGGTTTAATATCTCTATGTATAAAATTTTTATTATGCACATATTCAATGTTGCCAATCATTTGATCAGCCAACATTAAAACAGTTTTCATTGTCAGTCGACGTGTACAAAAATTAAAAAGGTCTTCCAAACTTGGTCCCAATAAATCCATAACCATCGCATTGAAATCTCTGACTTGCCCATACCAACGGACATGAGGAATGCCTGGGCCGCCCTGTAATATTCGGTATAATTTACTTTCGTACAACAATTGTGGGTGACGAGCTTTTGTCGCTTCCAACTTAACCGCTACTTCTTCTCCATTACCAATATTAATTCCTAAATATATATCACCAAACGAACCACTTCCTATTTTCCTGACTAATTTATATTGCGCTTTCCCTTGTTCGCCAACAAGGAATTCGTGTTTTCCCGAGCTACGCCCTTCGCTCGGGGTACTTGATTCCATTATAATTCAAGCTTCGAAAATAAAAAATTCTATTTAGCTAAAATTAAAAATTATCACACAAAGTTCACAAATCCGATCACTGATATCACAAAATAATTAATTATAATAATGAATCACAGTGTTTTTGTAATAGCCATAATAACAAAAATGTCTGACTAATAATCAAACTAACGCCATAAGCGGTACATGAATGTTCACGCTTTATAAACACTAGACAAGATAGGACAACTGCCATTGTTCAGCTTTAACTGCTCAGAAACAGCTAAAAATAATTAAAACATTATTTATTTTTAACGTATTTATACTAGATATATTCCTTTGTTGGAGATCAAAAATTCAATTTAATCTTAACCCATAAGATAATTTAATGCACTTTTTTTCATTGGTTTAAAATTGTTAATAAAGTAACTTAATAAATGTTTCTGAGTTGCCTACCAGTTTTCACCAAAACGGGCGTCATTTTGGAGCTGTATCGCACATATATATATATATATATATATATATATATATATATATGTATATATATATATATATATAATACATATCATAAAACATTTCATTGACCTTAGACACAACAACAGTCGGTAGATTTTGCGAAACTCGCATGTTGCTCCCAATGAAACTTCCTGGATAAGATGTATAAAAAGAAATAAAAAATTCTTAACATCATCTGCTGTTGCTTAGAAACTAAAATTTTTAGATTTAATAAAGTGTTTTCATACAAAAACTAAAAACACCAATTTTTAGCTAAGCGGGCTTAATTTTATTTTTCAGTATGACACCTTTGAAAGTAAAGCATTTCAATTACTTTAGATTTAATAGCAATTGATTGATTTTGTTCCTAATAAAACTTTCTGTATTAAGATGTAAAGATGTAGGTATAAATTTAAAATATGACAACACAACATCTTCTGCTGTTGGTTAGAAAGTAAAATTTTCAGATTAATATATATATATATGGTCTAAATTAATGTTTTCAATGAATTTTTTCTAATTCGATGATCTGAACTGTTTTAATGGTATGTGCTCTATCCAGTGGCGAATTTAGGCTTAGGCGCACTAGGCGCGCGCCTAGGGCCCCCAGATTTTAGGGGCCCCCAAAACTTGGAAAATGAGTTTTTTTGAGGCTTCAAAATATTTCGCACAAAAAAATTTAATAAGTTTGAAAAAAATTAATTTTACATTTTCAGATAATATATTTCATTATTATTTCTAAATATTTTTGAACAACGTATGAAAAAAAATATACAATTTATACGTTGCCAAAAATGCGCGCGCCAACCCTAAATTAAAAATATAAACAAACTTTTGAATTGTGCTAAAATTCGAACACAATTGGCGCATCTTACGTCACAGATTTCAATTAAAAATTTCAATTCAAATTTTAATTTTTTACAATAACTAATTGTTAATTGCCAGTTTATTATACTATTTTAATAATTTCACTGTGTGGATGAATGATCATTTTTCCTTATTACTGTAAATATCAAGATGAAGTGAGCCGCAAGAAAAAGCGAAAACCGTTTTCTGACAAAAGCAATGAAGCGGAAGTTATTTTAACTGGTCGTGATAATTTTATTGTTAACACAGTAAACGCCATTTCTGATAAATTGATCACGGAACTTGATCACAGAATCGAAGCATACAAAGGTATACATGATTTGTTCAGTCTATTTTTCAAGGACAAGGTAGATGACATGAACACAAAGATCTCGGCCTTGATCGAAGAATACAAAGTTAATTCTGATACTGCTGGCAATGAAATCAAACAGTTTTTGGATTTCGCTAAGGAAGAAGGCGCAAAATTTGCGGTAGAGATGTACCAGCTTATAGTGATGGGTGGACTACAATGTACATTTCCCAATGTGGAAACCCTTCTAAGAATCTTTCTCACCATTCCTATATCAAACGCAACTGGAGAACGGTCATTTTCTGCGTTGAAAAGGATCAAGAATTACTTGCTGAATTCCATCAGCCAATGTAAGCTGGGAGATTTGTCTATTTTATGCATTGAATCAAAGGAGACATTAGAATACGATTTCAATGCGCACATTGACTCCTTCGCGAAATTGAAGAGCAGGAAAAAAGTTGTATAACTGTAGTAAACTGACAATTGTAATTTCTAACTAGTATCTATAGCTGTAGTATCTATGCATGTTAATACATGGGTATGAGTGTTCCAACTATTGTTGTATTATGATCATTGATCGCCTTATAGGCGAGAGGGCCCCAAATTGGTCGTGCGCCTAGGGCCACAGTTTTTGTAAATACGCCTCTGGCTCTATCAATGAACAAATATGACTGTACGTATACAGCGGTGGATCTAGAATACTCTGAAAATGTTAACATTTTTTAATTTTTAAGAGAACCAAGATTTCCAAAATTCATGGTAGCGTGGCAACAATTAGGATGAAATTATTTTTATTTATACCTATACACGATATACCTACATCTACATGATGACATATGTAGAATCTATTCTATATATGTATTTGTATATGTTATTATAAACAGAAGCTGCCAGAAAACAATTTTGGTTGAGCGCTTGGTTGCGAAAATGCGAAATAATTTCTTTACCATGACAACACGACATTCACTTACACCGTCTCTTATCTTATCGCGAAGGTTGCTGTCGAATTGACAGTTGATAAACATATCGATCGCTCTTTTGATTTTATTCAAAAACTTTATCAAACAATTGATATGTCGCTATCAACAAATCGTACAGCCAAAATCAAAAAGCAGTTTAGTCAATATTTTTAAATTGCCCTCTTTTTATTTATTATTTTTTATCAATTTTCCAAGAAGATTATCTACCATTAATTAAAAGTTCGTTATCACTTGGAAAGTTTTAAAATTTTGCAAATTTATTAAAATAAATGTTCACACAGTACAACGAAAGATGAGATGAGTTCTGGATTGAAACCCGCTCTTAATTTCTCAAAACATCATCAAGCATTTCAATTGAGCGAATGGAACTATAAAAGTAAATGTTCCAGAAAAAATTATACATTCTCAAAAGAAAGAGTTCAAGAAATTGAAAAAGAGAATGAAAGATTATATTTAAAAATTTTTCACAATAAAAGCTATAAACCCTCTTCTTCCAAATGTCTTGAATCGTTGCCACCAAGCAGACCAAATTCTGCCTGCATAAACAGACATCGAAATCAAATGAAAATTGACTCCGAAAACGCGGTAATATGCTTTGCCATAATTTAAAATCTACACTAATCAATTTTAATTAAACGATTTCAGATAATTCTAAAACGTTTGCTACGGATCAAACCCACTGAAGAAATCAGTAATAACTTTTCTCTAAATATATCTTTTCGTGAAAAAAATAAATGACTGATTTTGTTTTTTTGACTGCTAATTTTTAATATTTTCGAGAGAACGTTTCAGTAATATGGAGACACTGTTTTTTTAATAACTACCATTCTGTACTTAATTCATTAATGTTGAAATGAAAGTTAATTTGTAATAAACGTGTGAATTGGACTTAGTTTACCGTAATATAGTATTCAGTGCTTTTTAAACTTTTTTGTTCCGCGGACCGGTACGGAATTTAATGGGCATGCTGCGGACCACCATTACACAATATCGTTGTAACCGTGCTACCGAACGCACTAGATTCTAGCGTATTCTAGAATGTTCTAGTGACTGGAGCATTCTAGAGTATGCTAGAATCGGACCATCTAGGAGAATCTAGAAACGACGCTTGCGAAGAGTATATAAGCGCACGTCGCAAGAAGATTTGTGATTAGTGAAATTCGTGATTTTGTGATTTCGTGAATAGCGATTCGGTGAATTATTTAAAGCGATATTTGATTTGTTTGTTGACGTTGATAGATTTTAAACAATTTAAAAGTTAATTGTTGCGTTAATTTGAATTAAACGATTAGTTGATTTCTTCTGTAAATAAAGTTTAATAACGAATAACTGTTTGGAGTATTTTATTCAGTCGAAGATTTGAACCGTCGCATCGTAAATCGGTTACGACAGCGAGTATTATAACATTGGTGTCAGAAATGGGATCTTCGACTAGCGAATTACTACTCATAGAAAAAGAACACGATGTCAAAACTGTGTGGTTTGAACGTAGTTCAGCTACGAGAAGAACTACAGAAACGAAGCCTTGTCACAAGTGGCAACAAAGAAGTACTAGTAGCACGTCTGAGAGAAGCTCTCATTGACGAAGGTAAGAACCCAGACGAATTGAAGTTTGATGGTGCTGACGAAGACAATGAAATTAGCACAGGCACGTTTACAACCGCTAAAATGATGGAACTTCTGCTTAGTATGTCAACTGAAATAAAACAACAGTCCGAACGACAGACAGAGGAGTTAAAACAGATCAAAGAACAGTCCGAATGACAGACAGAAGAGTTAAAACAACAGATCAAGGAACAGTCCGAACAGATCAAAGAACAGTCCGAACGACAGACAGAAGAGTTAAAACAGATCAAAGAACAGTCCGAACGACAGACAGAAGAGTTAAAACAACAGATCAAGGAACAGTCCGAACGACAGACAGAGGAGTTAAAACAGATCAAGGACCAGCTAAAACACGTAAAATTGGAAGTGGCAGAACAGAGTGAAGAACAGTCAACAAGAATAGAAATGATTGAGCAGCAACTTGATCGTCAGACTGTTGAGGTAGATCACAAGATAGACAAATTGAAGCGAGAATTGGAGCAATCCAAAAAAATGGCCATGCCGTTAGATCACGCATCCAGAAGAACTTTGAAGGTACCAGGATTTGACGGAGAGATGTCCTGGAACGTTTATAAAACCCAGTTCGAAGCAGCGGCAACTAGTAACTGTTGGAACGGAAAAGAACGAGCAACAGCACTGATACTGGCTCTGCGAGGTTCAGCAGCAGAGGTTCTTCAGACGATTCCGGCGGAGAACCACTTCAACTATGAAGTTCTGGTTAGCGCGTTGGATTTACGTTATGGTGAAGAACACATGAAACAAATTTATCGGTCTCAGCTTAGAAACAGAACGCAACGATCTGGTGAATCCATTCAGCAGCTGGCACAAGATATCGAACGGTTGACATTGCTGTCGTATCCGACATCAGACCCCGAGCATAGAGACGAAACTGCCCTGGATACGTTTATCAAAGCCCTTCGTGATTCGGAGCTCAAGCAATCCCTTTTCTTGTCAGATAAACGAAAACTCAAGGATGCCGTTGCGCACAGTCTCACTTTTGAATCGGCAAAGCAAGCATCAAAAAGTGACGTACGTCTACGCCAAGTACATGAAGAATGCTCTTGCCAGAAGGTGGTTGTGAAACGCGAACCTCAACAGCATGGTGTACCCCAATGCTGGATTTGTGGTGAAAAAGGCCATCTACGTCGTGATTGTAAACACTGCCTAAAAGATAACTACTGCCGAAATTGCGCGACAAGATGGCGCAAAAGAAGAGAAGATGATCCTGTATCACGATCGGCCCCTTCTAACCAGAAGGTGGTTGTGAAACGCGAACCCCAACAGCATGGTGTACCTCAATGCTGGATTTGTGGTGACAAAGGCCATCTACGTCGTGATTGTAAACACCGCCTAAAAGATAACTACTGCCGAAATTGCGCGACAAGATGGCGCAAAAGAAGAGAAGATGATCCTGTATCACGATCGGCCCCTTCTAACGAAGAGGCGGAAAAGCTAATAAGAGCCAACTTTGGGGGGCAGAGGTTGGCTAGTAGAATTGAAGCCCCCAGTACCGTAATTAACGTTTCCAGACTACATCGAAATCGAAACGACCTATGGCTGAACGGAAAAGTTGATCAACGAGAATGTGTAATTACAGTCGACACCGGAGCAACAAAATCGATTTTAAGATCTGATTTGGTACCCAATCTGAAGAAAGAAACTTCTAACAAATACATCCTTCGAACAGCTACCGGAGGAACAGCACCAGTCTATGGAAAGATTCTCCGTACTGTTCAGCTAGGCGACTTGTTATTCGAAGGTTCATTCTTAGTCGCGGATATCATTGACGAATGCATAATAGGTGTCGACTTTCTGACAAAATATGGGTTCAAAATTGACTTAGAAAAACGCATTCTTAGATGGAGAAATACAGAAGTGATAATGGGGGATAGCGACGAAAAATGCATTCGAGTGACAGTCGATTGTGACATAGAACTACCTCAATCATCTGAAAACATCGTATGGGGCAAGTTGAATTGCGATCCAAGGGGCCACCAGTTCTATTTGATGGAGCCAACCTCAACGACAAATGTACAGAACGCGGTCATTGGAAAATGCCTGGTAGAAGCGAACAAAAATGGTCTTATTCCTGTCAGAATAATGAATACCGCTAAACACACTATTAAAATTAAAAAAGACAAGGAAATAGGTAATTGCCAATCAATAAATGTAGTGAAATCATTAGATATGGAGCAACAGGAAAAGGTTCTACCAACTAACAAAGGTAGACTCAAAGAACTTACCAAAAATCTACTGGATGAACTCAATTTGTATCAAGAAGACCGTCTAAAAGCCGAGGCGTTGATTGCTGATTTTACAAAATACGTGGATATTCTTCGACAGCGATTAAACCATATCCACCGTTACGTACGCCTTAAAATTATGAAAAACACGGAGGCGGCCAAAACCAGATACGACTTGAAAGGAAGCAGTGGCGGTTTTGCTGTCGACGAGTTAGTTTGGCTGTACAACCCACAGCGAAAGCAAGGCCGTTCTCCAAAGCTCCAGCGAAGGTGGGAAGGACCTTATCAAGTCATCACCCGCTTGAATGACGTCGTCTACCGTATTCAGGAATATTGGAAGCCGAGAGCAAGAATGAAGATCGTTCATTTGGATGACTGAATCCGTACCATGCGGACACCGGAACGAAAGCTGTTCGGGACGAACAGAGCTAAGAAGGGGGTAATGTTATAACCGTGCTACCGAACGCACTAGATTCTAGCGTATTCTAGAATGTTCTAGTGACTGGAGCATTCTAGAGTATGCTAGAATCGGACCATCTAGAAGAATCTGGAAACAACGCTTGCGAAGAGTATATAAGCGCACGTCGCAAGAAGATTCGTGATTAGTGAAATTCGTGATTTTGTGATTTTGTGAATAGCGATTCGGTGAAATATTTAAAGCGATATTTGATTTGTTTGTTGACGTTGTCATAGCGATAGATTTTAAACAATTTAAAAGTTAATTGTTGCGTTAATTTGAATTTGCTAGAAATAAACGATTAGTTGATTTCTTCTGTAAATAAAGTTTAATAACGAATAACTGTTTGGAGTATTTTATTCAATCGAAGATTTGAACCGTCGCATCGTAAATCGGTTACGACAGCGAGTATTATAACAATATGTATAAACGGTTACGGTTAATATATCACGCGTGAATTACTATTTCTTGCTCACATACTTATCTCACACTCTAACCATGATTTTTTAAACAGCTGACCACCATCACACATATACTTATCTCGCCAATTTAGAACAATGAATCTCATTAGTTGCAGAGATCATTCTGGCTCTCGCGTTCTCACTTATATTCTTATCTCACGGTACTAATTAATGAAATTTTCTTTGTGTTGCTGGTCAAGTCTTAGTTTTATTTTTTTTATTTTGAATATTTTAAAAAATTTTGGGAGCTCGCCGCGGACCGGCACCACTTTGAAAAGCTCTGGTATAGTTAACATTCAATCAATCAATCAATCAATTAGCTTATAAAGCGCTATTTCCGCGACGTTCAACAGCGCTCCTCAATGAATTTTGAAAACAGATGGGTCTTGAGATCCGCTCTGAACTTCGCAAGTGATGTAGAAGTAGTCAGAGAAGTAGGTAGAGAGTTCCAGAGAAAAGGACCAGAAAAAGCAAAAGCAGATTTGGCAAAAGAGTGTTTAACACGAGTTAAGAAAAAGCGAGAAGACGACGATCGTAAATCGGGGCGTTTAGGTTCAATTAATATATCTGATAAATACTTAGGAAATAATCTAGATTGAGACTTATACATGAACGTGCAAATTTTAAAAATTATTCTATATTTTATAGGTAGCCAGTGCAAGAGAACAAGATATGGATATATATGAGAGAAGAAAGGGGCACGAGCAACTAGACGAGCAGCAGAGTTAAAAGCTTTACTTAAAGGATAGAATATAGAGTCAGGAAGACCATAGTAGAGCGAGTTACAATAATCAATCCTAGATAAGACCAACGAAGTAACAAGAAGGAGAAGAGTAGGATCATCAAGAAAAGGCAAAAGTTTTTTTATTCTACGTAGATGAAAGTAAGAGCTTCTAGCAACACTATTAATTTGAGAAGAGAGAGACATAGTAGAATCAAAGATAAAACCTAGACTACGAAACTTATGAGAGACATCAAGAGTTTTAGAACCAGGTAAGATAATAGGAGAAATAGTAATAGAGTGTTTAGATTTATTAAAACAAATTAATTCAAACTTAGAAGGATTAAGTTTAAGACACATAGAGTCAGACCAAGCGATAACTGAAGAAAGACATAGAGATAAATTATGAAGAACACTATTGAGATTAGATGGAGGAAAAGAAGTATAAATGTAAGAATCATCAGCATATAGTTGACTAGAGAAAGAAAAGTTATTTATAATACAAGGTAGTTCAGAAGTATAGAGTATAAATAGAAGAGGGCCAAGGATAGAACCCTGAGGTACCCCGAAAGTAAGAGTAGAGGAGTTGGAAGTAGAATTACTGAGAACAACAGAAGAAAAACGATTACAGAGATAAGAAGAAAACCAAGATAGACAAGAATCAGTAATATTAAAAGAAAGATGCAGCAGTCTCAAGAGAATAGTATGGTCAACAGTATCAAAAGCCGAGGAAAAGTCAAGAGCAAGAAGAAGAGTAAGATCACTATTGTCACTAGAGAGAAGGATATCATTGTGTACTTTAAGTAAAGAAGTTTCAGTACTGTGAGCAGGTCTGAAACCAGATTGAGATACAGGTAGCAAGGAGTTAAAGTCTAAATAGGATGACGGTTGATTAAAAAATACTTTTTCTATTATTTTAGAGATGAAAGTAATATTAGTTACAGGTCTATAATTAGATAAAGAGGTAGGATCTAAGGATGAGTTGGCTTACTGTGGTGGCTTACTGGGTCTCATAAAACTGTGTCACGGCGGTTTTCTGTACATATAAATCAATAAATTTATATATTTAAATAAATCAATATATTTATATCACAATTATTTTTATCAATATAAATATAGAAACTGCTTTAGTCTGGTGAAAAACAGTGGCTTACTGAAGTCGTAGGTTGGCTTAATCGGATTTTTTTTGCATACAATAATATGAAATCATTTAATCAATCAATAATCAATTAATCAATCGATCGATCAATCGATCTGTCGATCAATCAATCAATCAATCAATCAATCAATTAACCAACCAATTATTCATTCAATCAACCAATCGACCAATCAATGAACCAAATAAAATGAATCTAACAAACGAATTAATTGTGATAAAAACGAAAAAAAAAAAAAATATTTGCAAGGCTTGTTCATACTCGAACAAACACCTAACCGTTCAGATTTACAAACAATTTTGAGATTTGAGTAAAAAATGAAAAACACAATGGTTGCTTTTATTTGAATTCTTTCAAAAATGGAAAGTGACGGTTAATTAAAATTATAAAAACGACAATTTTTTAAAAAAATTCGAATTTTAAACAAATAAATATAACAAAATATTGACCGATAAAAAATAATTATTA